TTGTTCATCCAAATTCTCTTCCGAATCATGATCGCTTACTAAATTTTCAATTTGAGCTGGAATTTTTAAAACTGTTCCTTCACCTACAATAAAATAAATTAAGGAAAAATTCAAGAATCGTTATGTGGCGTAAAAATCGACGATTTTTTTTAATCCTTGTTAAATAACCCAAAAAACACGTTAAAAATAAAAAGAAAGTGCTGAAAAGTGACTAACACTAGATTAAGTTCAGTTATAAAACTTCTATTATATGATAACTAATTTTAGGTTTAAAATGTCAACCTCAATTTTGACATATTTGTAATCTTCATTAAAAATCCTTTAAAACGAGTCCAAACACGACATATTTAACTTTAATATTAATTGAAATACAATCACTTCCGGTTTAAAATGTCAACGTCAATTTTGACATATTTGTCATCTTCATTAAAAAACCTTTAAAATGAGTCCAAACATGACGCACTTATCTCAAAAAACAAAAAAGTTAGACTAAAAAACATTAAACCCGAAGTTAGCAACAATGAAGATAGCTATTTATTTTTTAAATATTAATACCAACCTTAATTTTTGATTTTTTTTATTATATTTTTGTTTTTGTGATCAATTTTGAGACATTTTATAAAAAATAAGAATATTTCAAAATGACGTGGACATTTCAAACCGGAAGTTATATCTCGAGTAATATTGGAATTAAACGTATCATGTTTGGGCTCATTTTAAAGGATTTTTCACCTCAATTTTGACATATTTGTAATCTTCATTAAAAATCGTTTAAAATGAGTACAAACAAGACATATTTATCTTCAATATTAATGAAGTTATGGTCAATTTCCGGTTAAGAATGTCAACGTCAATTTTGACATATTTGTAATCGTCGTGAAAAATCCTTTAAAATGAGCCCAAACATGATACGTTTAATTCCAATATTACTCGAGATATAAGCAACTTCCGGTTTGAAATGTCAATGTCATTTTGACATATTCTTAATTTTTATAAAATGTCTTAATATTTGTCACAAAAACAAAAATATAATAAAAAAAAATAAAAAATTAAGGTTGGTATTAATATTTAAAAATTAAATTGCTATCTTCATTGTTGCTAACTTCGGGTTTAATGTTTTTTATTCTAACTTTTTTGTTTTTTGAGATAAGTGCGTCATCTTTGGACTCATTTTAAAGGTTTTTTAATGAAGATGACAAATATGTTAAAATTGACGTTGACGTTTCAAACCGGAAGTGATTGTATTTCCATTAATATCAAAGTTAAATATGTCGAGTTTGGACTCATTTTAAAGGATTTTTTATGATGTTGACAAATATGTCAAAATTAAAAGTTGAAAGTTCGAACTTTTTGGTTTTTTGAGATAAAAGCGTCAAGTTTGGACTCATTTTAAAGGTTATTTTATGAAGATTACGAATATAATAATAAAATTAAAGTTGACATTGACAAATTCAATTACAAACAAATATTATTTGAAACATTTTTTGATTCCAACGATAATTATCGATATAACCTCAAAAATGTTGTTTTTATACCAATATACAGCGCCACCTGGTGTAAATATCAAAACGATTTATTAAAAAGATCGTTTTGAAATCAAATTCTAAACAACTTTGATTATATATAATATGGATTGAGCTAACTGAATATATCTACTAACAAAAATGTTGCTCAAGGTGAATAGACGCAGATGGAAAGCGATAATGTGAAAGTGTAACAAAGATAGATATATTATATGTCAGTACGCTTCTATATCTATCTCACTTCTATCAGTACACCCATTATATGGCAGTACGCTTCTATGTCTATCTCGGTTCGATCACCTTGCGCAAGCTACCTCTCTCGTTGGCTCAATCCATATTATATATAATCAAAGCTAAACAAGTATTGTACGAAACATTTTTCGATGAAACCTATATATTCCATGGATTATACAGGGTGATTCAAAAAACCGCTGACACAAACGTGTTTTTCTTAGAAACTATAGCTTTGATCAAAGTTTTGTAAGAAACCAATTGATAGATAATTGATCACTTTACACGCGTAGAGAGCAATGGCGTAGACAATATTTTTTAAAAAGTGCTTTTTATGACAGATAATGTTTAATTTTAAAGAAACTTTGATCCGCTATATCTCGCCAATGAGGGATTTGTATATTAAGACTATTCATCTTAATTTTTCATATATTATCTACTCTAGAAGTCTGTCAGCGATTTTTTGAATCACCCTGTAGACATCAATGTTCACAGGATGATCGTAAAGTGCTTTTATACCCCTATACAAGTCTATTTAGTGAAGATACGAAAAAATGTTATTAACAAAAATTATAACAAAGTGAATTACAAATAAATATTATTTGAAACATTTTTTGATTCCAACGATAATTATTGATATAACCTCAAAAATGTTATTTTACACCAATATACAGCGCCACCTGGTGTAAATATCAAAACAATTTATTAAAAAGGTATTTATCATCATCATAAAAAAATCTAGGCATAAATTGGACGGGGGTGGTTACGTTTAGTAGTTTAAAAGGGTAGGTTGAAAGTACAGGGTGGTTCAAATTCGATGTCCGAATAGGCTAACTCGGAAACTATAAGAGTTAGAAAAAAAGTAGCTTACATGTCATGATCTTGTTTTTCGAGAAACTGCTAATGCCGAAAACCTCATAGCGCTATCGTCTTTTGTTTTTCCCCTAGAGGCCAAAATTGGAAATATCGTAAAACCAGCAAGTGCAATTATCTTCGTTATTATTATAGGTGGAGTATTATAACTAAGACATTATATGGACACTTTTTTATAGAGAATTGGATGACGTAGTCAAAAAAATTTTTTCGGTTTTAGATTTTGAGATATCATCACAATTTTCGTTTTTTTAAATGGAAACAACCACTGATTATTCGCTTATTAAATTCGTTATTTTTTTCTGATTACAAAAATATAGGGTTCGACAGGTCTATTTCTTATTGTTTTAGAATAAAGCCAAAAATAAACTTTTTTTTTAAATTTCCATCTAGTGTCATCGACGAAATTAAATTTACAGTTTCCTGTAAATTATGGTACTATAACTAAAAATTAAAAAAACAAATTTCTGATGTTTGAAACAAATAAATTTGTTGAACTATTTAATTTATATATGTTTTACACAAAAGTTGGAATAGATTGCATTATTTCACATTTTTTATTAATATTTAATATTATTACAGGATTTTTAAAGTGACACTTTTTGAATACAAACAAATGTTGCTATGTTTATTTGAATTCAAAAGAAAAATATATGAGCGCCATCTATCAATAATTTATTAAGTCATTTAATAATAATATTAAATATTAATAAAAAATGTGAAATAATGCAATCTATTCCAACTTTTGTGTAAAACATATATAAATTAAATAGTTCAACAAATTTATTTGTTTCAAACATCAGAAATTTGTTTTTTTAATTTTTAGTTATAGTACCATAATTTACAGGAAACTGTAAATTTAATTTCGTCGATGACACTAGATGGAAATTTAAAAAAAAAGTTTATTTTTGGCTTTATTCTAAAACAATAAGAAATAGACCTGTCGAACCCTATATTTTTGTAATCAGAAAAAAATAACGAATTTAATAAGCGAATAATCAGTGGTTGTTTCCATTTAAAAAAACGAAAATTGTGATAATATCTCAAAATCTAAAACCGAAAAAATTTTTTTGACTACGTCATCCAATTCTCTATAAAAAAGTGTCCATATAATGTCTTAGTTATAATACTCCACCTATAATAATAACGAAGATAATTGCACTTGCTGGTTTTACGATATTTCCAATTTTGGCCTCTAGGGGAAAAACAAAAGACGATAGCGCTATGAGGTTTTTGGCATTAACAGTTTCTCGAAAAACGAGATCATGACATGTAAGCTACTTTTTTTCTAACTCTTATAGTTTCCGAGTTAGCCTATTCGGACATCGAATTTGAACCACCCTGTACAAATAGGGTCAAAACATGCCCTGCCCTATTATGAGTTAATATACCTTTTAGAGATATTGTTTTCGTATATATATGCCTAGCAAGCCAGCTAAATATGGCATAAAGGTAATGTGTATGACTGACGCATGCAATTCGTATTTCTACGCAGGAAAAGACACTGATCGTGTAGGGCTCTCTGAAGAAGAGGGAAAACTATCTAAGCCTTCACAATGTATGATTAGATTGTGTAAACTTATCGAAAGATCAAACAGAAACGTAACTGCAGACAACTATTTTACGTCAATAGAAGTAATTGATAAATTAAAAGAATCTGGCTTGACGTACATAGGAACTCTAAAAAAAAACAAACGGGAAATTCCCAAAGAATTTCTAGCGAATAAAGACAGAAGTGTTGGTACAACACTTTATGGTTTTTCAAACGATCATACATTGATCTCTTATGTACCAGAAAAAAATAGAGCAGTTCTATTAGTTTCAAATATGCACCATTCTAAAGATAATGAACTTGGGAAGCCAGAAATAATTAAATATTACAACCATACCAAGCCAGGAGTTGATGTTCTCGATATGAAATGCGCTAATTATAGCTGTTTCTTACACCCTAGTAAACATTAGGACAGTAAACAGTTTTATATCAGGGTAACAAAATGATACCATGTATTACATTTGTGAAGGAGTTGGCTTTTGAACTGTTAAAACCTCATCTGAGGCAAACACTAACAACAAACCTTCCTGGGGATCTGCGGTCCAATGTGGAGAATCTTTTGAGATTTGCTGTTGCACATCAAGTCCACAATGATGAAAATACTGTTCCCGATGACAAGCTTACAAAAAGAAAAACTTGCAGTATATGTCCATCATCAAAAATGAAAAAAACGAATTATTGTTAATAAAATTAAATATGCTGTATATTTGAATGTGTAATAATCAAGGTCTAGGTAGACCTGTTGTTTCTAATAAAGTTGATATTTCAGTGTTTCGGGTTAAAGGTTAAAAACTGAACCACATTATACTATATTAGGTTAGCACGGTACTATTGATGGCACGTCGAAACTTTAAAGTGATTTTTCACCAAGTTTTACACTTTTTTTTATATGTAACGGCTTACTTGAATGATTGATTTGAAAATTGTCGATTTTTACGCGACATAATGATTCTTGAATTATACCTAAAATAAATAAAATATAATAATAAAAATAAATTTTTTTTTTAGGTTATGTCGAAAATTGTATGTGTTAAAACTTGGTTGCTTAGCAACAAAAAAATTTGAGGTTAAATTTTTAACCTAAAAAAAAAATTTTAACCAAAAATTTTTTTTATATTTACCTTGAGGTCCATACGATATTTTAATCGTTCTTGTATTTGTACATGTTGTTGTTAAAGGTTGTTCGTTTTGAACGTTACAATTTTGCGTAATGAACGTCGTCGATGGTGTTTCTTTGTTCTTTGTGTCCGGTTCGCTTCGAATTTCTTCGACAGGTTCTTCTGCAGAGCCTAAATTCCTTTTTTTTCGTAACATTTGTTTGTGTTTCGTTGTTTTTCCAAAATTTCGAACTGACTCCAAAGATGTGGTTGTTGAGGGTTGTTCGGAATGTTCTTGGGAATGTACAAAACTTTGATCTTCCTCTACGTTACTATTGGTGTCCTCAGAAACGTTTCCATTCGACTTTTTAACTTTGTCCATTTTGGTTCTTTTGATTTGGGTCGTCTAGATTTTAGAAATAAATAAATTTGTTGATTAATCCCACACAAAAACCTTACCGATGTTGGTTTTACATAACCTCCAATATTTCTTTGTACAGATCTGGTAACGGGGGCGTTGGCGCTTCGTTTTGGGTGAGGGTTAGGTACACTTTCAGTTGATTTTCTTTTCCTGGTGACGTTTTCCGAGTTTTCATTACAAATTCCTTTGCATTTTGAGCACAGGACCTGCCTGGGTCTTAACCTCACAGTCATTTTGTTGTTTTTATATTTTGAGAGGTGAGTTCGTTTTTTTGTTGCTCCCGGTTCTGTGTAATTAAACCGTTGGTTAACTGCGTATAAAGGGTCTTCCTCTGAGTTTGCTTTTGGCACGTTTAAGGCTGGATTTAGAGTTTGAACGCCGCATGGTAAGTTCCTGAGTAATTTTTTTAATGATAAAGGGTTTTTTAAAAGGATACTTGAGACTTACTTTTTAGTTGAATCTAATAAGACTCCTTTAAAAATTTTTACGCCAAATTCGTACGTGACTACTATGATATCCGGTAGGGCTTCGTCTACGTGTACCGATATTTTTGTATGTTTTAATAAATGTACATCGGTTGTATTTTCCGCAGTCGCCATATTTCATATAATCATAAAAATAAATCCCCTAAAACGCGACCCAAACCAAGGTAAAATAATGAAAAGGAGAAAAACACCGAAGTTCCACCGGAAAATTTTTTTTTCAACGTTTCGTATCGAAAATTTACGACCTACGACCGATTTACGTTGATTTCTACGTCATTATTTGATTTCCCACGCGGTCACCAAATAAAAAAATTCAACTCATCAAAACCCATTATTTTACATTTTACACAGGGTGTTACATTCGAAACTGCCTTAAACATTCATTTTAAACATTCAATGCTGAATATTGTTCTTAAATTAAGTAGAAACAGATTGTGGTGATTACAACCAAAAAAGAACGGATCGTTCTTTACTACGTTATTTTTTAATGAGTTCTCGGTATTTAAACGATAATTAACGTTGATAAAAGTATTTTTCTTTTAACGTAATCGAAAATTATTTATAATTTTCCTAATAACAAAGAAAAAATTGCTTGGTTCTTTTAGCTTAAGTTGGTATACCTTGATTTTAAATTTGTAACTAAGATGACCTTGCTTTATTTTTGACAGCGGTTTCAACTTATAGGTTAGGACCTCGAGTGAATTCTTTTTAGAACTAAAAATTGTCGAACTTACTGGTAAGTTATAAAAATTGTATTAAATTTAATAACGATGCTTTATTTGTAGGGGTAAAATCAACTGGAAATGTAATGATTTGATGACGATTCGTGTAAAAATTTTTGAAGAAAATAATCTAGAGCTTGATTTTGTACTTTTAAACTGGTTTTTATTTTATATAGAATTTAAGTCTAACCAGAGACTCTACAAATAGATTAACGTCTCTCATCTTATCCATTTTATAAACAAGTTTCTTAATATTTCTTTTTGTTTTCTTAAAAAAGATCACATATCAAAGTCGAAATCAAATTATTAGTTACTAATTTACAAAATTAATGTTTAAAGAGTTGTTACAAAAAGTGTGCAGGTTAAAATTTAAGAGCGCTATTTTTTAACAAAAAAAAATATTAAGAAACTTGGGAAAAATTCAAGAATCACCATGTGACTTAAAAATCGACGATTTTTTTTTAATCAACGTGAAATGACCCAAAAAACACGTTAAAAATAAAAAGAAAGTGACTAACACTAGATTAACTTCAGCTATAAAACTTCTATTATATGATAACTAACTTCAGGTTTAAAATGTCAACCTCAATTTTGACATATTTGTAATCTTCATTAAAAATCCTTTAAAATGAGTACAAACACAACATATTTATCTTCAATATTACTCGAGATATAAGCAACTTCCGGTTTGAAATGTCAATGTCATTTTGACATATTCTTAATTTTTATGAAATTTCTTAATATTTATCACAAAAATATAATAAAAAATTAAGGTTGGTATTAATATTTAGAAATTAAATTGCTATCTTCATTGTTGCTAACTTCGGGTTTAATGTTTTTTATTCTAATTTTATTATTTTTTGAGATAAGTGCGTCATGTTTGGACTCATTTTAAAGGTTTTTTAATGAAGATGACATATATGTCAAAATTGACGTTGACGTTTCAAACCGGAAGTGATTGTATTTCCATTAATATTAAAGTTAAATATGTCGAGTTTGGACTCATTTTAAAGGATTTTTTATAAAGTTGACAAATATGTCAAAATTAAAAGTTGAAAGTTCGAATTTTTTGGTTTTTTGAGATAAAAGCGTCAAGTTTGGACTCATTTTAAAGGTTATTTTATGAAGATTACGAATATAATAATAAAATTAAAGTTGACATTGACAAATTCAATTACAAACAAGTATTATTTGAAACATTTTTTGATTCCAACGATAATTATTGATACAACCTCAAAAATGTTGTTTTTATACCAGTATACATCGCCGCCTGGTGGAGGTATCAAAATGATTTATTAAAGGGATCGTTTTTAAATCAAATTCTAAACAAATATTGTACGAAACATTTTTCGATGAAATCAATATATTCCATGTATTATAGACATCAATGTTCACAGGGTGATCGTAAAGTGCTTTTATATCTCTATAGAAGTCTATTTAGTGAAGATACGAAAAAATGTTATTAACAAAAATTATAACAAATTGAATTACAAATAAATATTATTTGAAACATTTTTTGATTCCAACGATAATTATTGATATAACCTCAAATATGTTGTTTTTATACCAGTATAGAGCGCCATCTGGTGGAGATATCAAAACGATTTATTAAAGTAATCGTTTTTAAATTAAATTCTAAACAAATATTGTACGAAACATTTTTCGATTAAACCAATATATTCCATGGATTATAAACATCAATGTTCACAGGGTGATCGTAATGTACTTTTATACCTGTATACAAGTCTATTTAGTGAAGATACGAAAAAATTTTATTAACAAAAATTGTAACAAATTGAATTACAAATAAATATTATTTGAAACATTTTTTGATTCCAACGATAATTATTGATATAACCTCAAAAATGTTGTTTTTATACCAGTATAGAGCGCCATCTGGTGGAGATATCAAAACGATTTATTAAAGAAATCGTTTTTAAATTAAATTCTAAACAAATATTGTACGAAACATTTTTCGATAAAACCAATATATTCTATGGATTATAAACATCAATGTTTACAGGATGATCGTAAAGTGCTTTTATACCTCTATACAAGTCTATTTCTATACAAATAAATATTATTTGAAACATTTGTATTTACCATAGCCAATGTTAGGACACCAATCATTGGTGCGGATTTCCTTCATGTATTTGGTATCTTATCTATAAAGAAGAAGCGATTGGTAGATTCGAAATATCAATATTCATCCAACGAAATGTGGATTAACTTAAACAATTACAGCAATTCTTAGGAATGACAAATTTTTATCAAACATTTTAGCTCCTTTGTATCATTTATGACACAAAAATTTAAATCAATCACTTCCTGGACACATCACCACGACATTTCTTTCACTATAGCCAAAGAACTTTTATCAAAACCCATCACTCTTGCACGCCTATCATCACAAGCTATTCTTTCACTGACAACAGACGTCTCAAGTAAAGACAAGGGAGCAGTTTTATCATAGACTATAGACTTTGAAAAGAGTTTCAAAATTTCACACTCTTCTAGGAACACGTCAAATTCATACATCCAGCTTCCATCCCCAAAGCAATGGAGTTTTAGAAAGATTTTACCGTTTTTTGAAAACAGCCATTATTGCTGAGGTGGAACAATAATCTTCCCTTGGTTCTCCTAGGCCTCAAATCATCTCTTAAGGAAGACCTAGGTTGGTCAATACTATTTAGAATCTAATCCATTGCTTTCTAGCTTACGAGAAACATTTTTTTGTTGAAACCGGTCAAAGTTTATTCAATTCAAAATTTGTTTTTATCAAAATTAATGGAATTCAGCCCTTTTTAACTCCAAGATATGAAGATTAAAAAATTATTATCAATCATTCCAGAGACAAGGAAGGATCATTAATTTATAAATATTTCTTAATTAAAATATAATTGTTATTAAAATAAATTATTTTGTTATTATTTACTAACTACATTAAACGTTTTACAAAATATAAAGGTTTTTTTAATTATTTATGTATAAAACCAAAAAATGTCAATGTCATACTAATTAATTTTAAAACATGATATAACAAAAATTCCCTGTCAATATTACCAACTTCGGAACAATTTGACAGGTAATATGCAAAAAAAAAGTGTAAATTTAACCTTGTGTTAACTCATTTGACATTTAAATGTCAAAATAAAAAATAACTTTAAAATACTTAATAATTTGATTATTGGTATGATTTATCATTAAATTTAACATTTACATTGCATAATTTTCATTCTCAGGTGTACATAACCGCCCACGTTCGAACGCTTGTTTTGATTCTTTCGTTAAAAATAAAATCGCAAATGTGTCCCAAGTGTGTTTCGTTGGCTTAATATCAAACGCCTAAAGAAAAATGTTATATAAAAAGAGTTACCGTAAAAACCGTTGGTACGGTTCCAAATCGAAATTTACAACTCGCGTTTCTAGTGACTTTACGTTATCACCTGGTTGCGAATAAAATTCCCAACATCGTTACTTATTCGTATATGTCATTGGTTGCTCGGATAGTGACGATATAGTTCTCTTTAAAAATAAAAAAGCCTGGTGAGTATCGCACAAATAATGTTTGTTTTTGTTCACGTGTACGCTTTGATTAATTTCCATCGCGTACTTTGGATTCAAAACACCCGGATAATAACAAAAACATCAATTTCTGTTATACAACAGTCTGGATAAAGACTTTCGTGTTTGTAGCCGATTCGATCACATAATCGTGAATTTAATTTAGTTTAATAAACGAATTAAATTTGTTCGTGTTTTTATTTTAATTTAAAAATCTTAGAAAAGTTTCGTTTCGAAAAGAAAATGCCAGAAAGGATTAAAATTGACGAACCTCTTTGGGATCAGAACTCGTTTATTGGGCGATTTAAGCATTTTTTATGGGTGACCGATTTCCGGACGTGCGTTTGTAGCGAAGACGAATTAATTAAGGCGAAAAATTTGGTCGAACAATATCGTCTAGGAAAAGAACCTCCTGGAACTACCGTTGACCAAGTTGTTTATGCTAAAAAATTATACGAGAGTGCTTTTCATCCCGATAGTGGAGAATTACAAAATGCCTTTGGAAGAATGTCTTTTCAAGTACCTGGTGGTATGGCCGTAACGGGGGCTATGTTACAATTTTATCGGTACGTTAAACAATTTATTTTGTGTTATGTAATAATATTTATTATTTTGTTATCTTTTATTGATAAGGTTTTATCAATTTTTTTGTGAAATTCCATTAAAAATTAATCATCCATTGGAAAATTTTTACCCAATGACGTCATTTTAAAAGTTAGGTTAAATTTTGACGTTTTAAATGTCAAAATTAATTTCTTTATATTTATATGTTTACTTTAATAATAATAAATATATTAAGGTCGTTTTCTTTTTATGTATATCTAGAACTGCTCCGGCTGTAGTTTTTTGGCAATGGGTTAATCAATCTTTTAACGCTTTGGTAAATTTTACAAATCGGAATGCAAAATCTCCAATAAGTACCACTCAATTAGCGGTGGCTTATGTTTCTGCAACGGCTTCCGCTATGATAACCGCATTGGGTTGTAAAACGTACTGGCAAAAAAATGCCGGACCATTCATACAAAGATATGTACCTTTTGCTGCGGTCGCAGCCGCGAATTGCGCTAATATTCCTTTGATGCGTCAAACGGAGATAATGTACGGCATTGATGTTGCTGATGATAAAGGGAAAATTGTTGGACAATCAAGATTGGCGGCCGGAAAAGGGATCTCTCAGGTTATAATTTCAAGAATTGTTATGTGTGCCCCAGGGATGTTAATTTTACCTGTAATAATGGAAAGATTGGAAAAATTTAATTGGATGAAGAAAATTCAACCGTTACACGCACCAATTCAAGTTATGTTTGTCGGTTGCTTGTAAGTAATTTTTTCTAACCTAAAAAAACAAAAATATTTTATAGTGTATATTTGGTTGCATAATTTACACAATTTATTTTAGCTTAGTATTTATGGTTCCAACGGCTTGTGCTCTTTTTCCACAAAAATGGTAAGTTGGTTAAGTTTATTATTAAATAAATAAAAAATATTAAATTAATTTTCTAGTTCATTGAAAACTTCAACAATCGAATGGCTTGAACCAGAGCAATACGCAAAAATTAAGGAAACATGTGGAGCTAACATTCCTGAAAGGGTTTATTTCAATAAGGGCTTGTAAAGCAATCCTTTTTAGATTGTTTTAACTTAATAATGAGAATCAATAGTCCTAAATTGCGACAATAGTAATATCTTAGAAACTTAAATTTGACTTAAAAAAGCCTTTAAAGGGCTTTACAGTACTTGATTTAAGAACTCATTTTTTACAGATCTTTTTAGATGATTTTGAATCTTTATACTTTTCTTGCCAAGAGAATTAAGTACGTTTTTTATTGTTATTAATTTATTTATAAATCTATTACAATAATAGCAATTATATGCTCACTATCTTTCATCAGGTGATTTAAGCAATAATTTATTAACCTGTTTATATATACAAATCGTTTTTATTTCGTTGTTATATTTCAATGTAATTTTATTTGGAGATTAATTAAAAATTATTAAAGAATTACTTGGGGCTTTTCTTTCCACATAAATGAAATCGATTTCACCTTACTGTACAAAAATACGTTGATTTTTTGAAATTTTTTGTTGAAAACTTTGAAAAAGTTTGTTTAAATTTTTAAGTAATTCCTTTTTTTATTCATCTTTATAGGAGGGTGGCTGTAGGCGACAAATGAATTTGTTAACATACTAAATACCTACATTAAATGTTTTACAAAATACAAATGTGTTTTAATTATTTGTGTATAAAACCAAAAAATGTCAATGAATCACCAACTTTGGAACAATTTGACAGGTAATATGACACTTATTTGACATTAAATGTCAAAATAAAAAAATACTTAATAATTTAATTATTGCGAAGATTTATTGTTAAATTAAATGAACAAGCTGATGATAAAGAGAAAATTGTTGGACAATCAAGATTGGCGGCCGGAAAAGGGATCTCTCAGGTTATATTTTCAAGAATTGTTATGTGTGCCCCTGGGATGTTAATTTTACCTGTAATTATGGAAAGATTGGAAAAATTTAATTGGATGAAGAAAATTCAACCGTTACACGCACCAATTCAAGTTATGTTTGTAAGTAATTTTTTCTAACCTAAAAAATCAAAATAATATATGGTGTATATTTGGTTGCATAATTTACACAATTTATTTTTATATACAAATCGTTTTTATTTCGTCGTTATATTTCAATGTAACTTTATTTGGAAATTAATTAAAAAATTACTTAGGGCTTTTCTTTGCACATAAATGAAATCGATTTCACCTTACTGTACAAAAATATGTTTATTTTATACATACAAAATAATATAGCAAAAAAACAACCAAATATATATTTACTTAATCGAGTAAATAACTAAATAATAAATTATTTCTATTTACAATTAAGTTATAATTAGTTAATATAATTGTAAGTTCTATGGCAATACATTTTACAAAGAAAATTAATGAATTTGGCAACAAATATGTCAAATTAATACATTTTTAAATCAATATTTTTTATGTTAGTTTCATCGTTAATCATAATAAAAAATAGTCTTTATTTAATTATGATTTAATACCATTTAGATTCCCCCCATTTTGTTTATTACTTGATTCCAACAACAAAGAAGCATCAGACATCATCCTGGCCGTACTTCTTACCAAAAACAACAAATGGCACTCTTCATACACATTCAATTGGACTTTTGTGCAAACTAAACCATGTAAAACGGTTGCCCGTTGTAAATCCAACCACCTCTGTAACGCCTGCTCACGCTCTTTAATGCTATTACTCAACGCAACATCAGAAGGCCCCCATAAAGAAAACTCCAACACCGATTTCGTTTGTGTCAATGAAACAGCTCGTTCGTTTTTTAATAAATTTTGGATTAAAGACGCAATTTTCGCGGGAATTTGAAGTTTTAACATAGCATTTGAGGCACATTGGCATAATGTTATGAATGTATCATCATCATTTTTTCGAATTGCATCCTCTCCTAGTCCTTGAAGAACATAAATCCGATAGTGAGTATCTTTATCCACTTCGCGGCAAAGCACGAAAGTTGATAAAGATGAAGGAAGCTCTTCAATTCCTTGAGCTTGCAAAACTTTTAATGAATTCACCAATTGCAAAAGAATAAAACTTGCATCTTTCCCATGATCATCAATACCTTGACTCGACTTTGATTTTAATAAATCCCCATAACTTTCAATTGTATGAACTTGCATCCAAGGAAGTATTGCCACAGAAGCTAAAAACAAAAAGAACAATATTAAAAATTTATTTTATTAGTTTTATGTAAAAACTCACCTTGAAGTTGTTTAATACTTGCATCACCAGGTTTTTCTGGTAAATATTGAACCGGAATTAAATCGCTAAATTCCGTCACGGGCATTAAAGCATAAACGCCCAAGGATAAAGTAGTCGTTGATGCCGTTCCGGTTGAAATGACGAGAGTTACATGTTGAGACCCCCAAATAGCTTGATGAAAAGCCCTCGGGCCGATTATAACAGATTGGGCGCTATTTTTAATCGTAAAATCGGTCCAACGAAGACTCGGAAGAGATTTTAAACCTCGTAAAGCCGGTTGGATTGGTGCATTTTGTTGAATCTAAATATAAAACGTCATAATTTAATTTATTTTTGTCGTGAGGAAGTATATTGTAAAAAAATACATTTTCTAAAACTTGCGCTAAAGCTTCATGATTCGCTACAATTACGGCTCCGTAATTATCTTCGAGGTTTTTATGAACGATACTTCGACCTTTTTTCGAACGTAATTTGTGAATTTTTCCGTTCGTTGTACCCCATTGATGGTCATTTTCATCTTCGGCAATCTAAAATATAAAAATAATGAAGAAAATTTTTGACAGGTTGAGGTTATGATTGGAAAAATTAATATTTAAATTTGACGTTTCAAATATGTCATTTTGACATTCTAAAATCAGCTGTTGCATTTCTTCCTAAAATTATTAAATTTTACGAAAAAAAAACTTACTAGAACCTAAAAATCCATCATAACGCGTTTTTGAACGCCCAAACTGTTTATTTAAAGTGATTTTATACTCCACGAAGAGATTTTTCGTCCTAAATCAATCTGTGAAGTTTCAATCGAAAGAACTAACCTAACTTTTTTCCGACAATTTAAAATATTTGGCATTTTAAAGAATCCGGATAATTTATTAAAATAGAAAGATGGTAAGTCGATTAATTTTATTAATTTTGAATCATTTAATAATTCCATAATTTATAATTTGCATTAATTTAAGAATTTAAATGATTTGCCCACCCCATCTAACGGCATCCATCTAAATTAAATTTTATTTTTGACATTTTAAAATCAGCTGTTATATTTCTTCCTAAAATTATTAAATTTTACGAAAAACAAAACTTTAAGCGCCCAAACTGTTTATTTAAAGTGATTTTGGTGGAGTATTATCCATATAGGTGGAGTATTATCTTAAGACATTATATGTACACTTTTTTAGACAGCATTTAATGACGTAGCAAATGTTTTTTTAGTTTTTTTAAATGGAAACAACCACTGATTATTCGCTTATTAAATTCGTTATTTTTTCTGATTACAAAAATATAGGGTTCGACAGATCTATTTCTTATTGTTTTAGAATAAAGCTAAAAATAAACTTTTCTTTAGTGTCGTCGAAGAAATAAAATTTAGTTTCCTGCAAATTACGGTACTATAACTAAAAATAAAAAAAAACATATTTCTCCAATCCAAAACAATGCGATCCATTAAATATTTCCGTATTAACAGTTGGTGTAATAAACATAATTATTTGTTTTTAAATACCAGAAAAATAATACCTCGTAATTTACAGTTTCCTGTAAATTTCATTTCTTCGACGACACTAGTTTATTTTTAGATTAAAAAGAACGATTAAAGTGATTTTTCATTAAGTTTTACACTTTTCGGCACTTTATTTTTTATTTGTAACGTATTACTTGAGTGATTTCCCATCGATTAAAAAAAAATTGTCGATTTGTAAGCCATTCAATGATTTTTTATACCCGCCATCTTTTGAGTGACACCACACTTTCGCAAAAATGACAGCGAAATCATAACATAACCTAATTCTTTTTAATTAATTATTTTTAAAGTTAATTATTAATTTACCTCAGATTCGCTTCCACAAAAACTATAAGGTGAATAAATTTCCGATTCGGTTTCACTTCCGCAATAAGTTAAAGACAGCGATCTTGGAATAATCCCGCAATTTTGATATTTATTATTATTATAATAATTTTCTGAAGAAATATCAATATTGCTTTCCGATTTTTGACTTAACCCATTAAGTTCTCTTCTATTCCCGTTAGTTTTTGAATCACATTCGGGCGAACTCGATCGATTATTAACATAATCGTAATAATTTTCGTTCGAGTTTGAATTGGAGTTTAAATTTTTAACATTCACATTTTCATAACCATTATTATTATTATTATTATTAGCTCTTTTTTGTTGTTGAGCTTCTCTTTCTCGCATACTCGCAGTTCGATGGGGTTTATTCGGTGTTAAAGCCGATCTAACCTCACCAATATTTGCATAAACAGTTTCGACTTTTTTTGAATTTAATATCTTTGAATATTCTTTTTGTTTATTTATAACATGTTGTGATTTCGGGGGATGCGGAAGATTCGGTTTTGGTGTGTAATCTTCGTAATTTCTTGGTGGCGGAGCTGGTTTTATAACCGATTTATTTAATTGATTCAAATTTGAATAATCTGGAACGTCTTGAAACGATGGCAATGGTGTTTTTGAAACAACCTCAACTTTATCACCATTTAATTCCGATGGATGAACAATAACTAATCTTGGTTTTATTTGAGGGGCTGGTCCGAAATCTTCTGGTATTGTTAAATTAATTTTTTGTTGTTGCAAATCATTTTGAGCCGGTGTTTTATTTAAATCTTTGTTTGAACCCATGCGTAAAAATTTTTTTAACGAAAATCGAGCTCGCTTTTTCTTCTCTTCACTTTGTGCCAACAAATTATCGGAGGATAATGATAAAGATCTTCTTGGAAGCGGTTCCGGGGGTAAACCTTGGTAACTATTTGCATAAATATCTTCTAATTTCGGCGATTTAATCCTTTGATTATTAATCAACATCGAAAATCGATCCTTTTTATCATCAATTTTCTCATCGTCAGGTAACGGTGGTTTAGGAGCTTTTCTTTTACTACCAGAATCTTGTTTTTCTAATTTAACAACTTTCGGTTTTCCGTTAATTAAATTATTAGTTGAAACTAAATTTTGGTTTAAATTAGTTTCCGATTTATTTTCAGTGTTGGGTATAAAAGTTGTTAAAACAACCGGTTGTGGATGATTTTCAATTGATGGAACGTTATTTATCGGTTTTCTTATGAGAATAGTGGACGGTTTACAAGGAATTTTCGGTTTATCTTGAATCGTACTTGTTTTAACTTGCCCATGTAAAAACGAACTGTTATGAGATGAATCAAACGTTGGGGGTGGTGTTAATGGTAAAGCAGGAGGTTCAGATTCTTCGGGATCAGCACGACCATCGGGTTGTTCGCGATTTTGTGATGGAATTTTTAATTCTAAAAGAAAAAAAATACTTTAAAATTTTTGGGGTTATGTTCGTTTTGTTTACAATTTAACGCACTAACGCCATCTATTGAGATAAAAAGTAACATAGTTTGCTTTAAAAATGTTATTTATAAAATAATTTTGAGTTGCTAAAAAGGTCGTTAAATTTGATTTTTGATGCCGTTTTTTGCTTATGTTAATTCCTAACGGTAAAGTATTTACAAATTGAATATTTTAAAACGTTCCAAACGAGGAAATTGTACGCTATGGATTGTTTAAAGAAGTTAACTGTAAACATTATTAGTTAAGAACTGATTTTGGAGATGATAATATCGAAAAATCTATAAATAACTTACTATTCTAGTATAGTAGTATTCTCTATTTTGTGATGAAATTACTAATTCTAAACGAAAAAAATTACTTTAAAATTTTTGAGGTTATGTTCGTTTTGTTTACAATTTAACACACTAACGCCATCTATTGAGATAAAAAATAACATAGTTTGGTCCAAAAATGTTATTTATAAAATTTTGATTTGCTAAAAAGGTCGTTAAATTTGATTTTTGGTGCCGTTTTTTGTTTATGTTAATTCCTAACGGTAAAGTATGTACTAATTGAATATTTTAAAACGTTCCAAACGAGGAAATTGTACGTTATGGATTGCTTAAAGAAGTTAACTGTAAACATTACTAATTAAAAACTAGTTTTGTTGATGATATAATCGAAAAAATCTATAAATAACCTACTATTCTAGTATAGTAGTATTGGCAATTTTGTGATGGAGTTATTATTACTTCTAAACGAAAAAAATTACTTTAAAATTTTTGAGGTTATGTTTGTTTTGTTTACAATTTAACACAGTAAGTAGCGCCATCTATTGAGAAAAAAATTAATGATTCTACAAACTTAATTTATTGTTAGTTTTTCTTAAAATTTACCTGGAATTTGTTTATTTTCTTCAATTATTAAAGAATTTTCCTCGCTACTTGAACTCCCAGTACTTGTTAAACTCGTATCGGACACTTCATCTTCTTTAACTTCTACTTTTTCTTTTACATTCTCCTTACTCATTTTAACATCAATTTTATTGTCATTCAAAGAAACCCTTTTTTCTAAATCATTTTTCTCGTTATCTTTATGTAGAAGAATTTTTTCTTTTCCATTAACATCCAATTTATTAATTTTGTCTTTATTATTAGAATTTAAATTTTTTGTGTTCATTAGTTCAATTTTAGCGGTTGAAGTTTGATAAATAATCGGCTTTTCTTGATCTTTTTTAATAATCGCCGTCCGACTTAACCCATTCTTTCTTTCAGAAATCGTAGATTTACCTTTAACNTGTGTTGTTCATAGAACCAGCTACGTCACTGACCCACCTTGCCTCTCAGAGGAGGAGAATCGGTATTGGGTAACCTTATGTTCTATAGACCTTGCAATTTAACACAGTAAGTAACGCCATCTATTGAGAAAAAAATAGCATACAATTTGGTTTAAAAACGTTATTTATAAAATTTTGATTTGCTAAAAAGATCGTTTAACTTGATTTTTGATGCTTTTTTTTGCTTATGTTAATTCCTAACGGTAAAGTTTTTACAAATTGAATATTTTAAAACAATTGCTTAAAGAAGTTAATTGTAAACATTACTAGTTAAAAACTATTTTTGGAGATGAAAATGTATAAATAACCTACTATTCCAGTATAGTAGTATTCTCGATTTTGTGATGGAATTATTAATTCTAAAAGAAAAAAATTAATTTAAATTTTTTGAGGTTATGTTCGTTTTGTTTACAATTTAACTTAGTAAGTAACGCCATCTATTACGAAAAAGATTAATGATTCTAAACATTTAATTTAATCATTTTTCTTAAAATTTACCTGAAATTTGTTTATTTTCTTCAGTTATTAAAGAATTTTCCTCACTACTTAAACTCCCAGTACTTGTTAAACTCGCATCGGACACTTCATCTTCTTTAATTTCAACTTTTTCTTTTATGTTCTCCTTACTCATTTTAACATCAATTTTATCGTCATTCAAAGAAATCCTTTTTTCTAAATCATCAATTTTCTCATTATCTTTATGTGGAAGAATTTTCCCTTTTCCGTTATTATCCGTTTTATTAGAATTTAAATTTTTTGTGTTCATTAGTTCAATTTTAGCAGTTGAAGTTTGATAAATAATCGGTTTTTCTTGATCTTTTTTAATAATCGCCGTCCGACTTAACCCATTCTTTCTTTCAGAAATAGATTTACCTTTAACATTATCGGATTCNGGTTGAAGTTTGATAAATAATCGGTTTTTCTTGATCTTTTTTAATAATCGCCGTCCGACTTAACCCATTCTTTCTTTCAGAAATCGTAGATTTACCTTTAACATTATCGGACTCTTCATTCAAAGAAATTCCTTCATCATCCTGCTTTTTATTAACGTTGTCTTTATTCGTTATCGAATCTGGTTTTAATAGAATTTCGGTTTCGATTTTTTTACGGTTATTTACAATTTGAATTGGATTTTTGCTTTTTTCTAACGTTTCGGATATTTCATCTAAAAGAGATTTTTCCTTTTCTGAACTTTTTGTTGTGTAAGATGTTAAAATAACGTTAGTTGGTTCTTTTTCTTTTATTTCTTTATCTTTAACAACATTTTTAGCTACGGGGATATGTGATATACCATTTTTATTATTATTAATATTATATTTCCGATTATTTCCTGTTATACTTGAATTTTCACCTTGACCAAAAGGTGTTACAGATACTAAAAGGGTTTGCTTTTTTCCTTCAGAATCTAATTGAGGTCTTCCTAACAATAAATGAGTATAACTTTTCTTCGTTTCATTTCCATTTTCAATTGTGATCGGTGGTAAATTTGCATTAAACTCTGTGTTATTTTTTGTTAATTTCTCAAGTTCCTTATCATCGTTTAAAAAATCATCATCATCATCACTCGTTTCTTCACCATCTTCGTCGATTTCTTCATCAGAGAAACAATCTTCACCACCAAAACCGATAATTTCTACAAGTTCTTTGGTAAATTCCACTGAACGTTTTGGTTTTAATGATTTATTTGAGCTCGTTTTTATGATGCTTTCGATGGGTTTCTTCAATTTAATTGGGGTTGCTTTTAATTTTGGTGGGCATTCTTGATTGTGTTCATCTTTCGATTTAAAACAGTTTGAGCATAAATCTTTTTTCCAAGCGTTTTGGACGAAATGTTGACAAATCGCCGACGACATCTTTTCAGTTAAGTGTTGTGTTGATGGTTGACCATTTCTGCAAGAAAAATTTATTTAATTAAATAAATATTGAATTCTTCAATTTTTGAGGTTATGTTGCATTGTTTACATTTTTGAATTTTAGGTTAATAATTTAAATTAATATATTTAATTATTATTTAATAGCATAATTAAAGATTTCTCTTTATAAAATCTATATATTAAAAAATTTTTAAAATTTAAAAGTAAATTCTTCAACAATATCATTTTTTAATTGATTGAAGATATTGCAGCGCCATCTATTGAATCAAACGTCAAATTGAATCAAATTATTTGAAATTTTGAGGTTAAGTTTCCTAAATTGACATTAAACCAACTTTACAAGTTAATTTGTGAAGGTGTACGAACACTTTAATCGCTTTTAATCGGTTTTTAATTGAATGTTAGGTGTACTTACGTAATTAACAATCAACTAATTAGTGTTGGTGCGAACTTGTACATTTTTTACTGTTAAGTTAACGTTACCTATCATTTTTCTGTGGTATCATTAATTTTAGTGCTTATTTTCTTTTAAGATTTCATAAGAAGTTTTGCAAAATTGGCACGGATGCACGGACCGTGGGTTTAGCATTCGCAACAATGGTACTATGACATTTGGTCAATGTGGTCGACGAGCCATAACAAGAAGTACATAAGTGAAAGTTGTTGTTGTAGCTATTTTATTGCTATTACCAGGAATTTTAGAATCCACTCCTTCGTATTCATATAATTTATCAAGAATTATTTAATTGATTAATGTAAAAACATTTTTTGAGGTTATGTTTATATTTTTTTTTGACATTTTCAGGTTATGTTATAATCTTTGAACTTTAAAATCAAAAATGAATTCAAATTTAAAAGTTAGAAGAGCTGTTATACGTTTAAAACATAAATTGTTACACGTATGAGTCACCGAGTTGAATCAGAGCCTTTTTTTGTTGTGAAGAAATCGAATTCTTGTATTTACCTTCGTTTTCGTTTAATTTTCCTCAAATTAAACAATTTAAAACTACACTTTCTAAATGTTTTCATGATATACTCTCGAATATGTAATTGTTTTTGTTAACTGCAGTGTAAAAATCAAGATAAGAGTGTTGTTTGTTTAAGGAAAATGTAAAAACTGAGTTATTATTCATCGAGACACATGACTTATTTCACCGATGTGAGCTCAGAAACGTAACAAATAATGCCTAGAATTTTTTAGCTTTACGAGTTCCAGGAAAAAGCATTTTTTACAATTTCTAAAACGTTTTTGTGTAATAATAGAAATAAGATGGCAAAAGTAACTGTTCAATTCGATTAACTTTTTGCGAATCTTAATTAATCATTCAATTCACGTGCAAGTATCAGTTCATCGTCCCGTTTTGCAAACGTTCACGTAACAAAATAATGAAAATGGAACAAATGTCTCGATTAGCAAATACTCAACTTCCTTTTCGCAGTTATCTAACGATTTCTATTACACAGTTTATGTTTCTGTTTATTTATCTAATTCGCAATCATTTGTGTTATCTCTAACTGGTTTTTTTCCTTCACAAAAACAATGCTGAATTAAAACGAAAAGAATCCGGTTTGACCTAGAAAATACAGATTATAAACGTATTAACTGAAAAGCTATTTATCTTCACCATCTCCATTCTTCTTCGCCTCATCATCGATTAACGCAAAAACAAAACGGTACATTCATGACGACGTACAAGAAGCAAAAAGTGCCGTTTCTAAAATGATACCAAGTAAAGGATGCGTATTTGGCGAGTTAACAGTTCTTAAACGTTAGTTTCTTAGTAAAAAGAATACTGTTCCAAAAATAGGAGAATAAAACCAGTTATACGGTTTGATGTTAGAAAATATTTACGAAGAAAGCTTGAAATTGTTATTAGGCCAAACTACAACATTTTACACGTACGATTAACGTCATTTTCACGCGTTTTATCAACCCGGCTTATTTAAGAACTTGATTTCTCTTAAAATAACAAGAAGAGAAATCTGCATTTTTTTGTGTGTTAACTAAATTATTTCTGGTGTTTCTAAAAACAAATTTATAACAATAAATAACTTTTAATTTAATCTAAAAGATTCTGCGTTAATTCAATTTCTAAGTTTAGATTAAAACAATTTTGGGGGATCCAAAAGAACTTAAAAGTGTTTGGATTAGACGAAAGTTTAAATAAACACTATTTTTTTTTAAGTAAGTATAAACTTGATCGTTTCTGGCCCATTTGGCTTTCACCAACAGGAGACTGACGAGAGATGTTCATACTTTCACGATTGAGAAAAGCACTTTTGAATGTGGAACGCGCTCCCAGCTTTCGGAAATTGGTCGTTAAAAGAATTTTCATTCGGTATGGTGTGTGAAAATTTCGTTTCAATACGACGAAGAATTTTTAATGAATTTGTAAAGAAAAAAATTCTTTTCTAATTTTAATTGAACCAAAATTTAGGTTAGGAAAATTAATTAAACGTCAAATTGACAAGATAAAAATTTTTAGTGATTTTTTTTTTGCTAAAATTAATTTTATTAAATATTTGAATTCTTATTATCTTTAATTAAAGTGGTTTGCAAAGTCTATTATGTAATACAAATATATTTGGAAAATTAATTAAACGTCAAATTGACAAGATAAAAATTTTTAGTGATTTTTTTTTTGGATTAAATTAATTTATGAAAAATTAATTTTATTAAATATTTGAATTCTTTGTATCTTTTTTTAAAGTGATTTGCAAAGTCTATTATGTAATACAAATATATTTGGAAAATTAATTAAACGTCAAATTGACAAGATAAAAATTTTTAGTGATTTTTTTTAGTTTAATTTATGAAAATTAATTTTATTAAATATTTGAATTCTTTGTATCTTTTTTTAAAGTGATTTGCAAAGTCTATTAATACAACTTTATTTAAAAATTAATTATTTTATTTATTAATATTAATGTAAAAATAAAAAAAAAATGTGTTGGTAACTATGTATAAATACGAGTGACTTAACTGTCATATTTTACGAAAAATTAAAAAGTTTAATTTAACAAAAAATCCCATCAAAACACATTTTTGATCTCCCAAATTGTTTATTTAAGGTGATTATAGGTTCCACGAAGTTATTTTTCCCCGTAAATTAATCAGCGAAAAAATCTAACCTCACTTTTTTATTTCATTGCTTTTAAATTATGGGGATTTAAGAAAATTGTAGGGATTTATATAAAATAACAAGAAGGTAAGTCGATTAACTTAAATAACTTGAAATAATTAATTAATTCAAATAATTAAAAAAATTCTTTTCTGTTTTTAATTGAATTAAAATTTAGGTTAGGAAAATTAATTAAACGTCAAATTGACAAGATAAAAATTTTTCGTGATTTTTTTTTGGGTTAAATTAATTTATGAAAAATTATTATTATTATTCTTATTATTTTTAATTTAAGTTTGCAAAGTTTATTATGTAATACAAATATATTAGAAAATTAATTTTATTTATTAATATTAATTGTAAAAATAAAAAAAAATGGGTTGGTAACTACAAATACCGAGTCACTTATGTAAGTGTCATATTTTACGGAAAAAAAGGGTTTAATTTAACCGAAAATCCCATCAAAACACGTTTTTGCACTCCCAAATTGTTTATTTACGGTGATTATACGTTCCACGAAGTTGTTTTTCCCCGTAAATCAATCGGCGAAGTTTTCGGCGAAAAATATATCACCTTACTTTTTTATTTCGTTAATTCTAAATTGTGGATATTTATGAAAATAATATGAAGGTAAGTCGATTAACTTTATTAAGATTAATTAATTTAAATAATTAAATAAAAAATTATTAATTTTATTAAACAATTGCTAACTCCATCTAGCGGTGATCATCTATATTAATTAGATGTCATGCTAAAATTATTCAATTTTCAAAGAAGAAAATTTAAATTAAACGAAAATCTACATAAATACGTTTTTGAACTCCCAAATAGTTTATTTTAAGTGATTATATATTTAAAACATTCTCAAGTCAAGTTTTTAATAATTGTGAATTAAGAATTGCATTACTTAATTACAATCAATATTAATAGATGGCAGTAGTGAGAGATGTCAAATTGCTTAAAACGTCAGTTTCATAAATAAGTTTTCTTTGCTGTTTTAACAAATTTTAAATATTTATTTTTACCAATGTACATTCCATTATTATTACAACAACTTCGAACCGGAATTCCAGAACGCGCGCTTGTTGACGGTATTTGCGCAACCGTTCGTTCGGCGCGTTCTAAAACGAAGAGAACGGTACAGAACGCGAGGTTTGGAAAAAAAAGTTGTAGCAAAAAAAGGAGTCGATTCGCAACGGAACTAGTTGCGTAAAAGAATCGCCGCTTGGTCTCGGAAATAACATACAGTTTGGTTTAAGAGTGTTGTTTAAAAAATTTTGATTTGCTAAAAAGGTCGTTAAACTTGATTTTTAATGCCGTTTTTTGCTTATGTTAATTCCTAACGGTAAAGTATTTACAAATTGAATATTGTAAAACGTTCCAAACGAGGAAATTGTACGGTATGGATTGCTTAAAGAAGTTAACTGTAAACATTACTAGTTAAAAACTGGTTTTGGAGATGATACAAATCTATAAATAACCTAGTATACTAGTATAGTAACTCGTCATACATAATCTGGGTCAGTGTGGCCTTTGGAGGAGTCAAAAAAGGATTTAACAAGAACTAAACCGGTTACCAACTGGAGTAAAACAGTCAAGTCTTGTAAAGTCGAGCTCGCGCATGCAAATCTTTTTATTTTTTAAAAAACGTCCTAATTGATCCCGGTTATGTAACTTCCTCGTTCTAAACCGTTTCTTTTTTAAAGTTAACAGCAATTGGGTCGAATCTAATTGCAAAATTTCCTCAACACATTTCAAATTAGACGAGATTAATTTAAAAAATAGAAAGTTTTTTTATTTCCAATTTGAAAAGAATAAGAAATATTCTTTTAATTCGTTTTGTACCACTCCTTAATCACGTCCGGAAACTCCGAAGGCGGTGGCATTCTCTTGCTCTGCTGCAATACTCAATCCCAGCGTATATTTAAAAGTTTCACTATCAATATTCAAGTTAATAATAACGTATTTTTAAAACACCTGTAGATAGATAGTCGAAGACATTCTTTTTTAACCATCGCATCGTAGCGGTACCTTAAAACGGTTAACCTAAGGATTATTTACAATGTTTTTCTAGGTTACGACTTGAAACGTGAAATCATTACACATGTTCTTGGTTCTTTCAATCACGTTCCTTTCTTTCATTCCTTTTTGCAACTAAGCAAGAATCAAACGTTCACTTAGCGAAGACAACTTTAACGATTCGATTTAATTAGGTTTGTGGTATCCTTTTTTTAATCATTTATTAATAAATTTATTCATTTGTAATTGACAGATATCAACAAACCCGCATATATGTGCTTTATGGACTTGATTAAAGCTTGCGATAGAGAGATGAGGCACCAAAGAGGGGCACCAGCTGACGGGGAGCCGAAGAAAGAATACAATACAACAAGAACCACCTCTGTAGATAAAGCATGATATGAACGAATCATCAATAACCTATGAGTGTAATTTGATGTGTTTTTATAAAAATAACGAACGTGATATTATCATCTTGATCGTTTAACCTATAAGAAGAAAACCTTGAAATATTCGATACTGCACTTGTGTCTCTCGGTTTCCGATCTAGAAAACCAGTCCGAGATTTTTTTCTTCTTTTATAGAAAAGAAATAACACCGAGAGAACGTAAAGGCCGTATGCAAATTAATCTCGGCATTTACTTTTCTAAAACCACTCCTATTTTCTAACAGATTAGTTACAATTAATCATTTGAAATGGAATTTAATAAAAAAAAATGAATCGTTAAACTTAACAATTGTAAATAAAGAGGTTAAATTCTGATTACTACTACAACCAGTCTTGAAATAACTTTACGAGTGCGATTTCCGCGAAGAAAATTACCGAGTTCAAATCTTAAAGCGTACCTAAAATAATCTAGAACAACCGGAAACACGGTTTAAAAGTGTTTCCGAATCGGGTTTTTGCTCTCCCCGTTTATATCTACATGGACATTTTTAACTTTGTGGGTGCCAAAAATAAAACTCTCCCTTTGGAATTTTAGAATTAAGTTGTATACGTAAAGGTTGAGTCATTTTTAAACGGGAAAAAGAATTAATTTAGAGAAAATCTATATCTAATCAAATTAAATCGGTAATGATTAAATTTCGCGGTCACAGAGTAACGAAGTCATTGTAACTTTGTGGGAATATTCTCCGAGTTGTGCACTTGACACACATCCCCTCTTGTGTTTTGTGGCGGAGGTTTTTAAGAAAAGGATTGTTTACATCCGAAACCATAAAGAAAAACACAAAGGGGATAATGTTCCAACGTGAGAAACTCGATAACAATATCTTTTTTTAAAGATGAACGAAAGTAAATCTAGTTTGTATTTGAATTCAACTCATTTAACCAGATATCTTTATTATCAACACAGCTGATGAAAGGGATCCCTCATTTAATTAGAAGAAACAGACCGTCCGGTCATTCACGCTATAATTAACCGTTCTGGCACAGTAATTGATACTGAAAACGTCTTTCGTTTTCTTTTAACGATGGAAGGAAGACGGTTAATTGATAAGTAGTTATGAGAGTAAATTGGAGTGTGTGAAAAGAAAGTGGTGCATTTTTTTTTTTTGGTTAACTTATTAATTAATCAAGAAAACTTTTATTTATAACCCATTAGTTCTACTTAATTAGAGGTAAATAAGAATTTGCAAACTTAAGTGTTTTTGTGTAACGTTCGGTCTATGAACCGGTTTTAATATAATAATAAAACTTGCGTAGTTTTCTTATCGAGTCATTACATTCTTCGCATTTCTTTTAGCTTATATATAGCTGAAAATTTAATAAACAACTATTTATAGGTTATATTTGACAATTTTAACTGTCACATTTAAATGTTGGCAATGAAAATTAAATCGCTAAAAGTTACTAGATTTTACGTCAAAATGAATTACAAATAAGTTAATATGTTAAGATTCTTACAAATGAAATTGTATCAACGGTGTTTGATTCATCCAATTATCTTCTAAATCACTTTATTTGGAAAATACGGGGCCAAAAATATGTGGAATTGCTTCAATACCTTTTTTATGACACTTTTGACATTATCATGACATAACCTCATCATGTACATATCAGTTGTCTTAGTGACAGGTGAAGTTAGAAGCTACGATATTAAGTCTTAATTTTAAGTACTAATTTTGATTCTTTAATATAAAAATTAATTAAGACTTTATTAATTATTCAAAATATTAAATTGCAAAAAAAAATCTCATTTGTAATTATTTTCATTAATCATTTTTAAATTAATATTTTACCGATAGATGGCACTTTTATAATTTTTGACAGTTACTATCGTATTACAGAAAGTTGCTATAATTTAGAAGAAAACAAAGCATTTTTACGCCAAAACGAATTAAAAATAAGTTAATATATTAAGATTCTTACAAATGAAATTGTATCAACGGTGTTTGATTCATCCAATTATCTTCTAAATCACTTTATTTGGAAAATACGGGGCCAAAAATATAGAAGCTACGATATTAAGTCTTAATTTTGATTCTTTAATATAAAAATTAATTAAGACTTTATTAATTATTAAAAACATATTAAATTACCAAAAAAAATCTTATTTGTAATTATTTTCATTAATCATTTTTAAATTAATATTTTACCGATAGATGGCACTTTTATAATTTTTGACAGTTACTGTGGTATTAAAGAAAGTTGCTATAATTTAGAAGAAAACACAAAGAATCTTATAATTATGGCTAAAACATAAATGATCATTACAAAGTCTTAGAAATCTAGGTTAAAACAGAAACGAATTCGAAAAGAAACCCTCTGGCTGTGTTTTAAAGATTTATCGATTTACAGGTGGTCGTCAAAACATTTTCTTTTCTGTTTATATCTTTTTTATCATTTCAACCACTTTCCAATTGTGTTCCATTTTAAAATATTAAACCTTATTTTCTCCGCATTAATTATAAATATAAAAAAAATTTTATCCTTTTATATTATCTTTTTTATGTTGTTTTTTTAAGGTGAGGTTAGATTACAAAATGCGTTTTAAATTGGGAGCGCGCGCACTCTCCGAAACGAAACTCTCAAAGTGGACAAAGGGCACGGGAAACCGTTTGCCCTCTTCAATGAACCGTGAACACAGTCTGCCGTAAGACACGGTTCAATGATCCGTGGCCACTTGAGGAGGTACTCAAAGACTCAAAACCCAAGTGTGAAGAAGTGAATTTATTTCATTACAAGTATTTTATGATTTTTAAGAAAAAATTATCTTATTCTAGCATATAAAACTCATATACTACATAATATAAGTTAGGAAATAACTTTTTGAAGTTTGAGGTTATGTCATTTCTAATTTTTTTTTGTAATTTTCCATAAATATTTCACAAAAATTATCGATTGTGAGTCATAATTATGTATAAAAAAAGATTTTGTATGAATCAAGTTTAAATTTAATTAAATTGAGTAATTATTGAAATTAATTTTAAGGTTATGTTCAAAAAATGGGTAATATTTTATAAAATTATTTTCTAAGTACTTAAATAAGAATATTGATGTTGACCTTTTACCTAAAGAAAGTAAAAGGTGCGCTGATTACGTAAGTTCGAAGGTAAAACGTTGTTTAGTTTATGGTTAATACATGAATCTCATTTTTTCCTCTGCAAAATTAAATCTTTTTATGTTTTACATAACAATCGTTAATGATTAATTAGAAAATTCTTTCTAAAATATCTTTTTTGCAAGGTTAACCAACGCCTTGTTTAATTCTTTCAATATTTAAATTAATCACAAATTTTTTTGTAGGTGTTACAATTTCTGGTTTAATTCATTAAGAAATTAATACGAAGCGATTAAGAAATTCTTGGAATATTTATTTAACAAAACAAATTTTGAACCCGGCTAAAAATATCGTTTTGGTTTCTTAGAAAATCTTGCATTTAAAGGGAACTCCCTTTTTGTTTTGAATATTGAAACCGATTTTTCTTTGTCTCCTTTCTTATTTAATGCTATTTCTGGGTACAAACCAGATGGTTTCAAATTGCTCCTCATTTTAATAGTTTTATTGGTTTATGGCAGGACTTGAATACTTAGTCACTTTAAAAAGATATTATTAGATTTGTTTGAAATCTTAACTGATTAGAATTCAAACGAAAAATTGATTATAAAGATTCAACTTAAGCGAAGTATCTTTTTATTTTGATTACTTTTATTCAAAAAAACAACGAGAAACATGTGGGCGCTTAAGAAAAAGTAAAATCATAACTCACCAAAAACCTTGTTTCTTAATTTTTTGTTGGGAGTGAAGAATTAATCACTTAAGCTAAATCACATAACACTTATCAAGTTGTAATGATAAAAAGAATCACTTTGCAGAATGTTTTTCACGCGTAAAATCGTGCAAAAGGTGCAAAAGAAAAAGTTATACACTCTAACGCGGTTAAGAAACTTCTGAGAGCTCTCCGCCTTTGGTTTGGTTTGGTTCTCCAACTCAGTCTACGTCTTGCGTTTCTTTTACTCCCACCATAAAACACTTTAAGAACGCGGTGGAAGGAAAGAAAATAATCGGGCTTTGTTGGCACAATTTGTATTCCTCACTTTTTATGCCATGTTAAGTGAATCACTTGGATTTTGCAAAAATAAATTTGTAATAATTTCATGATTAATTTTATGAATTTTATAAAATTTATTTAATTAAGCTTTATTTTTACATCCAAAAAGAATTAATAACAATAAGTATAAATGTTAATTGAAATTACTTTTACATCTTATCACAAAATGAGATGAATAAATGAATTTATCTAAAAAATAATTACAATTCGTCGTTTAAAGGTGGTGCATAATTTTTTTGTGTAATCATTGCTACTTTTTGGCTGAGTCTTTTACAGCCGGTTTTTGAAAATAAATTTTCTGGGCTTGGACCCCATTCGACACCTTCTAAAACTTCCCTAAAAATAAAATAATCTTAAATAAAATAGAAAAAAACAATAATTTTTGTTCTTACAAGATATCTCTTTCTTGAAAATGAGATACACCCCTTAAAGAAAACTCTGTGTAAATGCACGATCGAACATGATCATATTCGAGGGGAAGAAATGGAATGTAATGATCAATTAAGTTGCATTTAATCGTATCGGAATGATGAAATCCTCCTTTTTCATTAAAAGCACCAGCTGCAATTAATTTCTCAAAATCTTTTAACTTTATATCCCTTCGTTTCTTTCCAGACTTCCATAAACTTATATAATGATCGTTTATTAATGAGCTTCCTGTATTTGAGAGGAAAATAAAGATACTTTTTCGATAATCCACTTTTTCCACGGTGTCATGATAATCAATTATTGGCTTAATTCCATTTAAAACAGCCGATGGCATCTTATCAACTTCATCAAATATAAATAATTGCTTTTCGCATTTCGTTATATTCCCTTTTATCCACAAATAAATATTTTCCTAAAATCATAATTTTTGACATTAACATAACCTAACTTTTTTTTTGAACTTCGTACTTTATAAATATCAGCTTGATCTTCTTTAGGAAATTGAATTCTACCTTGAAAATGATGTACATATTGACTTTTCGATCCTTCTTTATACAAACTATCAACAATCATTCTCGATACGTAATTTTTCCCTGTTCCCGGAGGTCCATGAAAACTCAACGTTAAAGCTTTTTGACTAAAATCGTTCTCCCAATGGGCTCTTATCGCGTTTAAAACAACTTCCTTCGCTAAGTTTTGACCGAAAAGTTGCTTATCCAGCGTTGAACGGAGCCCTATTAAAATAAAAATTCCATTAATGACATAACCTAAAAATTAATTTTAATTTTACTTCTTAAATCACCAATGATGTATTTATCGCCGCAACATTCCGTTATTAAACATTTTGCGTAATGAGCTGCTTCTCCAACGTAACCAAAGTTAAAACATTCAATATTATTTAAGATTTGTAAAATAATAACTATTAAAAAATATAAAGTATTAAAAATCATTTTCTTTTACGTTTAACTAGAATCACTGAATTTTACGTTTAATATTACTATTTTTTATGTATATTTGAGTTTTGGTTGGAAAAATTTAAATAATTAACTAAAAACTTGTATGAAATCGTTTCTAACATGTTTACATAACCTAAAACTTTTTTAATTTTTTTTTGAGAGAAATTAATTTTTTTTTTATTAAATAATTATTTATTGTTTATTTTGATTTAAATGTTGCATTAAGATTAATTATTAGTAATTAATTAATTGTTATTATTTAAAATAAATAAAATTAAATATATCTCATGAGGTGTCGGTAAAATACAGATCCCTACATTACCTTGCTTTAACTAATAACTAATAACCTTGCTTATAGATTCTTAACTATAATTAAATAAAATAAACTTTATAGAGTATTAAAAATTATTTTAAAAAGTAATATTAATATTTAGTGATAAAATAAATAAATTAAATAATAAATAAATTTGTATAGATGTCGCTATGTGGTTTAAGTGGGTGAAGTTTGACAATCAGTGACGTTTGCCATTAGCCATTTTGCTGTGCTGTGTGTAAGTTCAAACTTATTCAAAAATAAAGAGAAGTGTTGGTTTTATTCTTGAAGGGGAAGCTTTATTCTAAACATTGTAAGTTTACATACAACAATATTAAAGAATTTGCTAACTAACCGCTTTTAAAAAGAAAATTTTCCGGCGTTAACCACACCCATCATCCGGTTTATGTGTTTATGTTACTTAATTCATTTCTCTTCCTCATTACACACCTTATTATTGAAACTTTACAAATACAGCGAAAAATTAAAGTATTTAAAGAAATTGTGTGAAATTATTATCTATTTGTACATTTAGGTTACTTTTTTTTGTCATTTTCGGGTTTATTATCGATCCCTATTTTTATTTATGTGTTAAAAAAGGGGGATTAAGTTATTTTTGGCCCAACCATTCGAAATTCTACAGCAATGCAGACGACTATGAGTTACAATTTGACCTAATAATCAATACCGTTACTTGTTTGGCTTACTGTGAGCGGTTCAAGGCACTCAAAGTTGGATTATGTCATCTTTTTATTAAGTACTTTAATTAATTTGAATTAAATTTAAAATCATTTCTATTTATAAATTAATCTCACGTTTAAAGCTTTCTTTTTAAATGAGAAAGTATTTTGTAGTTAGAATCTAAATTAAGTTAGATTTCACCAACCTATCTATTTTTTTTATTTTATCTGATAATTATTAATAATTAATTAATTGTTATTATTTAAATAAAATGAAATACATTTTCACTAAGTAGGTGTCAGTAAAATACAGATCCCTACATTACATCTCTTGCTGTGATTATCTTTTTTTATGTTTAACTAGAATCATTAAATTTTACGTGTAATATTAGTATTTTTTTATGTATATTTGAGTTTTGGGCGAAAAAATTTAAATAATTAACTAAACTTGTACGAAATCATTTGTAACATGTTTACATAACCTTAAATTTTAAAATATTTTTTTTTGAGAAATTAATTTTGTTTTTTATTAAATAATTACTTATTGTTTATTTTGATTTAAATGTTGTGTTCAGATTAATTTTTATTAATAATTAATTAATTGTTATTACTTAAAGTAAATAAAATGGGGTGTCGGTAAAATACAGATCCCTACATTACCTTGCTTTAACTAATAACTTTGTTTATAGATTCTTAATTACAATTAAATAAAATAAACTTTATGGAGTATTAAATATTTATTAAAAAATAATATTTATTACATTATTTTAAATTAATGTTTAGTGATAAAATAAAAATTCGTGTAATAAATTAGGTAATACATTAATTCCCATAGATGTCGCTATGTATTAAGTGGGTGACATTTCAAAAACCTATTTATTTTTTTTATCTTATCTGATAATATTAAATAATTACGTAATTTCTATATTTAGGAATGAGATTGGGTTGAAAAAAGATCATCAAAATGGATCAAATTCCTCCTCCAAAGGAGATAAAAATCTTGGAGACAGCCGAAGACATCCAAGAGCGGAGACAACAAGTTTTAAATCGCTACGATAACTTTAAAGCTGACGCGAGAGCTAAAAGAGAAAAATTAGAGGACTCCCGACGTTTCCAATACTTCAAACGAGACGCAGATGAATTAGAATCATGGATTTTAGAGAAATTAAAGGCCGCTTCCGACGAAAGTTACAAAGACCCGACTAATTTGCAAGCAAAAATCCAAAAGCATCAAGCTTTCGAAGCGGAAGTTTCAGCTCATAGCAATGCAATCGTCGTTTTAGACAACACCGGACGTGAAATGATTAACCAAAATCATTATGAATCAGAAACGATTCGCAAACGCTTGGAGGAATTACATAGACTTTGGGAACAACTTCTTTCAAAGTTAGCTGAGAAAGGAATGAAACTCCAACAAGCTTTGGTTTTGGTCCAATTTTTACGACAATGTGACGAGGTTATGTTTTGGATCACAGATAAAGGAACGTTTTTGCAAACGGAAGAATTTGGGCATGATTTAGAACACGTCGAGGTTCTACAAAGAAAATTCGACGAATTTCAAAAAGACATGGCCTCGCAAGAATATCGCGTCAACGAGGTTAATGAATTAGCTGATAAATTGGTTATGGAGGGCCACCCAGATCGCGAAACAATTTTAACAAGAAAAGAGGAGCTTAATAACGCTTGGGCCCGATTGAAACAACTTTCATTAATGCGCCAAGAAAAACTTTTTGGAGCCCATGAAATTCAACGCTTTAATAGAGACGCTGATGAAACGGTAGCTTGGATCGCCGAAAAAGACGTTGTTTTAAGCTCTGATGATTATGGAAGAGATTTAGCGAGCGTACAAACTCTTCAGCGCAAACACGAAGGTGTTGAGAGGGATTTAGTTGCTTTGGAGGATAAAGTTTTGACTCTTGGGAAGGAAGCTGATCGGTTGTGTGGGATCCATGCGGATCATGCTGGGCAAATTCAGGCTAAACGTGCCGAAATTGAAGCTTATTGGGAGCGATTAACGGCGAAGGCTAAAGAGAGGAGGGAAAAATTGGATGAGAGTTATTCGTTGCATCGATTTTTAGCCGATTTCCGCGATTTAGTTTCATGGATTAATGATATTAAAGCTACAATTTCGGCTGATGAATTAGCCAAAGATGTAACGGGGGCTGAAGCTTTATGCGAGAGGCATCAAGAGCATCGCGGCGAAATTGACGCGAGACAAGACAGTTTTGCAGCGACGATTTCCGCGGGGCAACAACTTTTAGAAGGTGGCCATTACGCCACAGACGAGGTTAAAGAGAAATTATCGACTTTAGAATCGGATAAAAATTCGTTATCGACTTTGTGGGAGGAAAGGAGGGTTTTGTATGAACAATGCATGGATTTGCAATTGTTTTATAGGGACACTGAGTTGGCAGATACTTGGATGGCTAAACAAGAAGCGTTTTTGGCTAATGAAGATTTAGGGGATTCTTTAGATTCGGTTGAAGCTTTAATCAAAAAGCATGAGGATTTCGAGAAATCGTTGGCGGCTCAAGAGGAAAAGATTAAAGCCCTCGATGAATTCGCGACGAAATTAATCGATGGTCAACATTACGCAGCTGATGATGTGGCGCAAAGACGCGCGATGCTTTTGGAACGTCGCTCTGCGTTAAAGGAAAAATCGGCGCAAAGAAAAGCTTTGCTTGAGGACGCTTATAAATTACAGCAATTTGAAAGAGATTGCGACGAAACTAAAGGATGGATTAATGAGAAACTTAAATTTGCAACTGATGAGAGTTATTTAGACCCGACTAATTTAGGGGGGAAAGTGCAAAAACATCAAAATTTCGAGCAGGAGTTAAACGCGAATAAAACCCGCATGGAGGAGATCACCCAAACTGGGAAGAAATTAATCGAAAGCGAGCATTACGCATCGCCTCAAATCCAATCGAGGATGGAAGAAATTGTTAGTTTGTGGGAAACTTTAGTCCAAGCGACGGATAAAAAAAGTTCTAAGCTACAAGAAGCAAGTCAACAACAACAATACAATAGAACGATTGAAGATATTGAGTTGTGGCTATCAGAAATTGAAGGTCAATTAATGTCGGAGGATTACGGAAAAGATTTAACCTCAGTTCAAAACTTACAAAAAAAACACAACCTTTTAGAAGCCGACGTAGGGGCCCACCAAGACCGCATCGAAACCATCAAAGCGGCCGCTAACCAATTCATCGAACGCGGTCATTTCGACTCCGAAAACATCGCACAAAAACAAAAAATTTTAACCGACCGTTACTCAGCCCTCCAAAACCCAATGGCAGTCCGAAAACAACGCCTTTTAGACTCCCTCCAAGTCCAACAACTTTACAGAGACGTCGAAGACGAAGAGGCGTGGATCCGCGAGAAAGAACCAATCGCGGCTAGTACAAACAGAGGAAGAGATTTAATCGGAGTTCAAAATTTAATCAAAAAACATCAAGCGGTTTTAGCCGAAATTAATAACCACGATAATCGCATTTCCGCCGTAATCGAAGCGGGGAAACAAATGATGGAGGATGATCATTTCGCAAGCGACGACATTAGAAATCGCGTTAACGCCTTACACGACCATTGGTTCTCATTGAAAGAAAAAGCGAATCAAAGAAAACAAGATTTAGAAGACTCCCTCCAAGCGCATCAATATTACGCAGACGCAAACGAAGCGGAATCATGGATGAAAGAAAAAGAACCCATCGTCGGTAGCACCGATTACGGAAAAGACGAAGATTCCTCCGAGGCTTTACTCAAAAAACACGAAGCTTTAATGAGCGATTTAACAGCCTTTGGAAACACAATCGAAGGATTAAAAGAACAAGCCGCATCATGCCGCCAACAAGAACCCCCCGTCGTCGATGTAACCGGAAAAGAAGCCGTCGTTGCGTTATACGATTACACAGAAAAATCCCCGCGAGAAGTTTCAATGAAAAAAGGGGACCTATTAACACTCCTAAACTCAAATAATAAAGATTGGTGGAAAGTCGAAGTTAACGACCGTCAAGGATTCGTACCAGCGGCTTACGTCAAAAAATTAGAAGCCGGATTAACAGCATCCCAACAAAACTTAGTCGATAACAACTCAATTTCAGCGCGACAAGCTCAAATTAACTCCCAATACGATCGATTATTACAATCAGCACGCGAACGACAAAAAAAATTAAGCGAAACCGTAAAAGCTTACGTCTTAGTCCGCGAAGCTTCCGAATTAACAGCTTGGATACGCGACAAAGAAATGCACGCCCACGTCGAAGACGTCGGCGAAGATCTCGAACAAGTTGAAGTCCTCCAAAAAAAATTCGACGATTTCCAAACCGATTTGAAAGCCAACGAAGTTCGTTTAGCCGAAATGAACGAAATCGCGATGCAACTCGTTTCGTTGGGACAAACTGAAGCTGCTCTTAAAATCCAAACTCAAATGGAAGATTTAAATACAAAATGGGCTTCTTTGCAGCAATTAACCAGCGAACGGGCTACCCAATTAGGATCGGCTCATGAAGTACAACGTTTTCATCGTGATGTTGATGAAACTAAAGATTGGATTCAGGAGAAAGATGAAGCGTTAAATAACGACGATTTAGGTAAAGATTTGAGGAGTGTTCAAACTTTACAAAGAAAACACGAAGGAATCGAACGCGATTTAGCCGCTTTAGAAGATAAAATCAAACAATTAGAGGAAACTGCGACGAGATTGATGCAAACTCATCCCGAATCCGCTGAACAAACTTACACAAAACAAAAAGAAATTAATGAATTGTGGAGTCAATTGACGGCTAAAGCGAATAGTAGGAAAGAAAAGTTATTGGATTCGTATGATTTGCAACGATTTTTGAACGATCATCGTGATTTATTAGCCTGGATTAATTCTATGTTAGGTCTTGTTAGTTCTGAAGAACTAGCTAATGATGTAACCGGAGCTGAAGCTTTAATTGAAAGACACCAGGTAATAAAAAAATTTATTTGATTTATTTTAAAGTAGTGTTTTGGTTTATTGAAGGTTAGGATTTTAATTTTTTGGGATATTTTAGAATTACAGAGCGGAAATCGATGCTCGATTTGGTGCTGTACCTCAGGTATTAAGTAATGAATCGTTTTAAAGAAAAGCTTTAGTGATCGGAAAGCTTTTATTACAAAAAAAATCTTTAATTTTAATTATAACAAACCAGGGCTACATCACTGTGTGATTAATGACTAAACTTTTACATTTTCTTACCTTTTTTTTGCTTTATTCACAATTTTTATTTTTATTCATGATTATTGCAAAATTATTTTTTGACATTGACAACTTTAATGCCAACATAAATTCAAAAATATTAATTTTTATTGCAACAAATTAATATTGTTTATATAAATCGTATTAATTTAATCGAATTCATAAATAATTTAGTTTAAAATTTGATTTATCATTAAAAAGTAATTTTTTTAAATTATTGACTAAAAATCATAACCAACCTAAAAAAGTAAAAATCCCCAAATCAAAATTTTTATTTAAAAATAAAAATTCCTTGATTTTCCAATAATCATGAATATTTATTGTAATTTCTTTTTATTTTGCAGTCTTCCACCGAATTTTATTTATAATTTGCACAACATGGTGTTCATCATCGCAAAATACAAACTAACCAAAAAAAAATTTTAACCTCAAACTTGACGTAATTTTTTTTGTAGGAACACCGAACGGAAATTGATGCAAGAGCTGGAACTTTTAACGCTTTAGAACAATTTGGGCAACAATTACTCAATTCTAATCATTACGCGAGTCCCGAAATTCAAGAGAAATTGGAGCAACTCCATAAAGCGCGCGAAGAATTAGAAAGGTTTTAACCTCAAAAAATTTTTTACGTCAATTTTTTACCTAAATTATTAATTTTAGAGCATGGATCGAACGCCGCGTCCAATTAGACCAAAACTTGGACCTAAATCTTTACTACAGAGATTGCGAGCAAGCCGAAAATTGGATGTCCGATCGCGAAGCTTTCTTAGCAGCGGAAGAAGTCGACTCGAAAGGTGATAACGTGGAAGCTCTGATCAAAAAACACGAAGATTTCGATAAAGCTATCAATGCGCATGTAAATTCTTTAATCTTTTTGTTAATAACATTTTATATTAATACATTTTTTGTTATTTTAGGAAGAAAAGATAGCAGCTTTGCAAACTCTCGCGGATCAATTGATCAATAATGAGCATTACGCGTCTCAACAAATCGATGATAAACGTAAGCAAGTTTTAGATCGTTGGAGACACCTTAAAGAGGCTTTAATTGAGAAGCGCTCAAAACTTGGTGAAAGCCAAACTTTGCAGCAGTTTTCTCGCGATGCTGATGAAATTGAAAATTGGATTGCTGAAAAACTTCAATTGGCAACAGAAGAAAGTTACAAGGTGAGAATTAAATTCAACAAATTGGGTATAATTCAAAAATCATGTCGCTTAAAAATCGACAATTTTTTTTTTAATCGACGGAATATCACTTTAAAGTTTTGACGTGACGTCATCAATCGACTCAGAGCCTGCAATATCTCCTAACTGTTGCTAGCTTAACTTTTCAGGAGAAGCTAATACTGGTTTGTTGCTCTTACTTTTATATTTATTTTGAATTCATGGTACTTTGTAGTTATTATTATACACTTTATGACAGAACAAAAATTAAACACCCAATGGTGTCATAGTTGATACATTACTTGGAACACATTTTTTCTCTAGATAATCTAGTAGACACAAAGCAAAAGTTGAATCTTTTATCTAATTGTTTTTTATTCTTTATTGTTTTAGAATAGCAATAAAAATCAACTTTTTTTTAATGTCGTCGAAGGAATTAAATTTACAGTTTCCTGTAAATTACGAGTACTAACTAAAAATTAAAAAAACATGTTTTTTAAATCCAAATCCAATACAATCAATTAAATATTTCCGTGATGAACATAATTATATGTTTTTAAATACCAGAAGTTATCTTCTTATTTAATTATTAACTTTTGATATTTTACCTACCGCCCCATAATTTACAGGAAACTGTAAATTTCACTTCTTCGACGACACTAGAATTTGGCGGTTAGAAATTTTATTTATAATTTCTTTATTCTAAAACAATAAGAAATAGACCTGTCGAACCCTATATTTTTATAATCAGAAAAAAATAATTATTTATGTTTAATGTATTCAGCTTCAGAAAGATTTCCAGTGTTGTACGAGCAACAAGTATTGCAGTGATCTTTTTTGAGAGTGTATATAGATAAATTTTTGTCTTTAATTTTTTTTAGACAAAGCCTGCAAATTGTTATCTTCACAATAAGTTCTATATCCCTTGTAAACTTTAACCAAAGTTTTAGAAATTGGTTCCAAAAACAGTTTTGAAGAACTTTTCCTGACATTCTTAAAATGTCTTTTTAATTGTAAGTTTTAATGTGTCATTGTCACAAGATCCAAGTTAAAATGGGATTTTGAAATCTAGAAATGAATTTGAATTTAAAAATAACACGAAAAGCTTGAAAATTACATTTTAACCTTAAACAAGAATGACGTTTACATTTTCGAAATGACGTATCAGGATCTTGGTAAAATTTTTAATACCAACCTAAAATTTTAAATTTAAAAATAAATTAAAACGTCAAAATGACATTTGTTGTTAAAATGTCTTTCATTGCAAGTTTTAATTTGTCATTTTCAAATATTGCACCTCTCGTCATCGCAAGATCCAAGTTAAAATGAGATTTTTAAATCTAAAAAAGAATTTGAATTTAAAAATGATGCCAAAAACCTTCAAAATTACATTTTTAACAATAAACAAGAATGACGTTCTAATTTTCGAAATGACGTATTCAGGATTTTGGTGAAATTTTTAATACCAACCTAAAATTTCTAAAATGAATGTTGTTTTTTATGCTTTTTTTTTGTAATTCGCGTTTTTATCCTTTTTTTTAACAGAAATAAAATAAATTTTGACAATGTAGGGAAATCGGTATGTAGCAGTAAAAAAAAATTGTCTAACTGTCAATTCAAATTTCTATTTTTAAGTGTTACGGTGCTACCAACTGCTTAGATAGTCTTGGATGTCACTGTGTAGCATATTTTTATTGAATTAAAACAGCTAAGAAGGTTTAGGTGTTAATGACAACTTTAATTTTATTATTATATTCGTAATCTTTATAAAATAACCGTTAAAAAGAGTCCAAACATGACGCACTTATCTCAAAAAACAAAAAAGTTAGACTAAAAAAACATTAAACCCGAAGTTAGCAACAATGAAGATAGCAATTTAATTTTTAAATATTAATACCAACCTTAATTTTTGATTTTTTTTTATTATATTTTTGTTTTTGTGACAAATATTAAATACATTTTATAAAAATTAAGAATATGTCAAAATGACGTTGACATTTCAAAAAGAAGTTGCTTATATCTCGAGTAATATTGGAATTAAACGTATCATGTTTGGGCTCAATTTAAAGGATTTGTCACGACGATTTCAAATATGTCAAAGTTGACGTTGACATTTCTAACCGGAACTTGACCATAACTTCCTTAATATTTAAGATAAATATGTCGTGTTTGTACTTATTTTAACGGATTTTTAATGAAGATTACCAATATGTCGAAATTGAGGTTGACAGTTTAAATCTGAAGTTAGTTATCATATAGTAGACAAATGGACAACTTCATGGTGTTGTTTCATGATGTATATTTTATTAAAAAAATCTTTAAAATGAGTCCAAACATGATGCATTTATCTCAAAAAACAAAAAAATTAGACTAAAAAAACATTAAACCCGAAGTTAGCAACAATGAAGATAGCAATTTAATTTTTAAATATTAATACCAACCTTAATTGTTGATTTTTTTTTTATGTTTTTGTGATAAATTTTGAGACATTTTATAAAAATTAAGAATATGTCAAAATCACGTTGACATTTCAAACCGGAAGTTGTTTATATCTCGAGTAATATTGGAATTAAACGTATCATGTTTGGGCTCATTTTAAAGGATTTTTCACGACGATTATAAATATGTCAAAATTGACGTTGACATTTCTAACCGAAACTTAACCATAACTTCATTAATATTGAAGATAAATATGTCGTGTTTGTACTTATTTTAAAGGATTTTTAATGAAGATTACAAATATGTCGAAATTGAGGTTGGCGGTTTAAACCTGAAGTTAATTATTATATAATAGACAAATGTATAACTTCATGGTATTCTTTCATGATGTATTCTTTCTAGTGTGTGTCTAACGACAAGTTAGTCAACGTCGATTTTTAAGCCCCATGATGATTCTTAAATTTTTCCACAAATTATTTTAATTAAAATTTCATTTAGGATCCAGCTAATATCCAATCAAAACATCAAAAACACCAAGCTTTCGAGGCTGAATTAGCAGCGAATGCAGATAGAATTCAATCGGTTTTGGCTAATGGAGGAACTTTAATTGATAAGAGGCAATGTGCTGGTTCTGAAGACGCCGTCCAAAAACGCTTAGAATCAATTGCTGAACAATGGGAGTATTTAACCCAAAAAACCAGCGAGAAATCGTTAAAATTAAAAGAAGCAAATAAACAAAGAACTTACATCGCAGCAGTAAAAGACTTAGACTTTTGGTTGGGTGAAGTTGAAAGTTTATTAACCAGTGAAGATGCGGGAAAAGATTTAGCATCCGTACAAAATTTAATGAAAAAACACCAATTAGTCGAAGCTGATATTCAAGCCCACGACGATCGTATTAAAGACATGAACGATCAAGCGGATTCTTTAATCGAAAGCGGCCAATTTGACACCGCTAATATCCAAGAAAAACGACAATCCATTAACGAGCGATACGAACGGATTAAAAACTTAGCCGCCCATCGCCAAGCAAGATTAAACGAAGCAAACACTTTGCATCAATTCTTTAGAGACATCGCCGATGAGGAATCTTGGATTAAAGAGAAGAAATTATTAGTTGGTTCCGATGATTACGGCCGCGATTTAACCGGTGTTCAAAACTTGAAGAAAAAACATAAACGTTTAGAAGCCGAATTAGGCTCGCACGAACCCGCGATTCAAGCCGTCCAAGAAGCAGGAGAAAAATTAATGGACGTCTCTAATTTGGGGGTACCCGAAATTGAGCAACGATTAAAAGCTTTGAATCAAGCTTGGGCTGAATTAAAACAATTAGCTGCAACTCGGGGTCAAAAATTAGACGAGTCATTAACTTATCAACAATTTTTAGCGAAAGTTGAAGAAGAAGAAGCTTGGATTAGCGAGAAACAACAACTTTTAGGCGTCGAAGATTACGGAGATACGATGGCCGCGGTTCAAGGTTTATTAAAAAAACACGACGCTTTTGAAATGGATTTCCAAGCTCATCGAGATCGTTGCAAAGACATAAGCGAAGCTGGAAAGAAATTAGTTTCAGAGGGTAACCACCACGCTGATAGCATCAACCAGCGTTGTCAACAACTTCAAACTAAATTAGATCATTTAGCTGCTTTGGCCGCGCGGCGTAAAGCGAAATTAATCGATAATTCGGCGTATTTACAATTTATGTGGAAAGCGGATGTCGTTGAAAGTTGGATTGCCGATAAAGAAACTCACGTTAAAAACGAAGATTTCGGAAGAGATTTATCATCGGTTCAAACTTTATTAACTAAACAAGAAACTTTCGACGCCGGTTTAACCGCGTTCGAACACGAAGGAATTCAAAACATAACAGCTTTAAAAGATCAATTAATTAACGCAAATCACGATCAAAGCCCAGCGATTGTTCAAAGACACGCCGATGTGATCGGGCGTTGGCAAAAACTTTTAAACGATTCCGATGCCCGAAAACAACGTCTCTTACAAATGCAAGAACAATTCAGACAAATCGAAGAATTATTCTTAACGTTTGCTAAACGAGCTTCTGCGTTTAATTCGTGGTTTGAAAACGCTGAGGAGGATTTAACCGACCCCGTTCGTTGTAATTCAATCGAAGAAATTAAAGCGTTAAGAGAGGCTCACGAACAATTTCAAGCGTCGTTAAAAACCGCCCAAGCCGATTTTGAAGCTTTAGCCGCGTTGGATCAACAAATTAAAAGCTTTAACGTTGGCCCGAATCCATACACTTGGTTTAATATGGAAGCTTTGGAAGAAACGTGGAGGAATTTGCAAAAAATTATTGCCGAGCGAGATGTTGAGTTAACCAAGGAAGCTCAAAGGCAGGAGGAAAACGATAAGTTGCGGAAAGAATTTGCTAAACACGCGAATACTTTCCATCAGTGGTTAACGGAAACTCGGTAAGTTCTTTATCTTAATTTAGATTTAAATTTTATTTTTCACGTTGGTGGTAATGTTTGCAGTTATCGACTTCTCGGTTGGGATGGGTAATTACAGTTTAGAGTGAAAAGTGTTTAAAACTAATTTTTTTCTAATAACTTTAAAGTTTATTGTTGTTTTAATTAACATATTAATTTTTGACATATTCGTTACCAACTTAAATTTTATTAGGGGAAAAAAATAATTTGGTTACTTTTTGGTTTATTTGGATTTTATACTTTATTTTTTTTAATTCGGAGGAGTAAAATGATTTTGGCGGGAGATTTAAAACCAGAGAGGATTTTAAGTAAACTAGTTACGAATTAGTTGCTTATTTATTTTAAAATAATGTATACTTTTAATCTGTGGTGAAATATTTAAATCAAATCTTTTAAAGGCGGTAAATAGATAAACATAGGTACACAGAATAATTGTTTATTGAACAAATATACATCATATTACAATTTAATTAATTTTTTTAAATAAATTTTTGAATAAAGTTTAAACGTCAATGTGACACAAATTGAATGTTACCAACTGTAACCAACTTCACAACAATTTGTCAAAATTAAATGTCAATTTTATGAAACGTCATGTTTTTCTACGAAAATTAATTAATTTGTGCTTAAATCATATGAAAAAAAGGAATTTGTTTACGTTTTTTAATATCAAATCTTTAGAAAGTCCTAGAAAATTAAATTAAATTGAAGTTTCTTCTTTGAAAACACATTTATAAGGTATATATTATACGGTAGTCGTGGACAAACTCATTTGTAAGGTATATATTAGCTGATGATATTAACCTATCCGGTAATTTTGTAAAATCCGGCCAGATACCAGATAGTTACCAAATTAGTATCTCTTTTAGATGTTGGACACTGCAGATAATAATCAAGTTCAACCCCAATAGAACTTTTTTCATTGAATACAACTTTATTTATCATTAACAACCTCATTGTAACAATGTAACAAATATTTTTCTTCTCTTCGCTTCTAATTCATTATCATCTTTATTACTAACAGAACTGTCGCTGTTATCACTTTCAATTATTAATTAAAATATCCTCTTCTTAATGCAAAAAACCGTTTTGAAAAATCACTTTCAGTTCTTGAGAAATACATTTTTGAAATGATCGATAATTTTTTCGAATTTTTCAATTTTCGCCGATTAAGTTTTAAAAATTCGTATAAAATCCAGTTCTTGGAATATGAGTATGAAAATTTCCCAAATTGTTAATAAAAGTGTCCTCTTTCCAATGAACCAACCCGTTTTGAAAAATAACTTTTAGTTTTTGAGAAAACAATATTTGAAGTTTTGATAAAATTTTCGATGTTGCAATTTTCATCGATAACTTTCAAAATTCGCTATAAAATTCATTTCTTGAAGGATCCTTGTGGAATTATCACCACTTATTAATTAAAGTATTCTCTTTTTAATGCAACAAGCCGTTTTGAAAAATCACTTTTAGTTCTTGAGAAATAAATTTTTGAAATAATCGACAATTTTTTCGAATTTTGCAATTTTCGCCGATTAAGTTTTAAAAATTCGTATAAACCCCACTTCTTGGAATATGAGTATCAAAATTTCCCAAATTGTTAATAAAAGTGTCCTCTTTCTAATGAACCAACCCGTTTTGAAAAATAACTTTTAGTTTTTGAGAAAACAATATTTGAAGTTTTGTTAAAATTTTCGATGTTGCAATTTTCATCGATAATTTTCAAAATTCGTTATAAAATTAATTTCTTAGAGTATCCTTATGGAAATATGACCAGTTATTAATTAAAGTATCCTCTTTTTAATGCAAAAACTGCTAATGCCCAAAACCTCAAAGCGCTATCGTCTTTTGTCTTTCTCCTAGAGGCCAAAATTGAAATTATCATAAAACCAGCAAGTGCAATTATCTTGGTTATTATTATAGGTGGAGTATTATAACTAAGACATTATATGGACACTTTTTTACAGAGAATTTGATGACGTAGCTAAAAAAATTTTTTCGGTTTTAGATTTTGAGATATTACGACAATTTTCGTTTTTTTAAATGGAAACAGCCACTGATTATTCGCTTATTAAATTCGTTATTTTTTTCTGGTTATAAAAATATGAGGTTAGATAGGTCTATTTCTTAATGTTTTAGAATAAAGCTTAAAATAAACTTTTTTTTTTAGTGTCGTCAAAGAAATTAAATTTACAGTTTCCTGTAAATTACGGTACTATAACTAACAATTATTCTACTAAAAATTTATATAAAATTTATTTTATTTTATAATATGTAACATTCTAACAAGTTAAACTTTTCGTAATGTTCGTAATCCATCTTAAAAAACAGGATTTTTAATTTGACACTTCAGAAAATTTTTGAATACAAATAAATGTTGCTATGTTTATTTAAATTGAAAAAAAATATATATGAGCGCCATCTATCAATAATTTATTATGTCATTTAATAATATTAAATATTAATAAAAAATATGAAATAATATAAATAATTCCAACTTTTGTGTAAAACAAATATAAATTAAATAGTTCAACAAATGTATTTGTTTCAAATATCAGAAATATGTTTGTTTTTAATTTTTAGTTATAATTTACAGGAAACTGTAAATTTAATTTCTAACACAAAAAAAAGTTTATTATATCGAACCCTATATTTTTGTAATCAGAAAAAAATAACAATTTTAATAAGCCAATAATCAGTGATTGTTTCCATTTAAAAAAACGAAAATTGTCTTGTTATTTAAAAATCCAAAACCGAACATTTTATTAGCACGCACCGAACTGTCAGCTGTCAGTCTGGATTTTGCGCCCTCTGTTGTTGACTAAAGGGCAATTTTCTTACCGGTGTAATTTAATTTCAATGTCGCAATCATACATTGAATGAGTTACGAAGGAATAGGGGACGAAATACCTTCTATACACAATGAAGAAAATGACAATATCTTATTTACAAACAGTAACATATTTATACTGTTATGTAGTAACATTTAGAATAGTACCAACCTTGATATTTGTAGACTTTTTGTAAATGTTTTATTTTAAAATTTTTGTCCACAACTACCTTATAATATATACCATATAAATGAGTTTTCTATAAGAAAAGGGTAGTCATTTTTCACAGAGGGATTAATAGTGGTGAATAATCATTATTCACGGGTAATCAACTTGACACACTAATAATAATTATTTAAAACGTCAAAGTTTCAAAAACGTCAATTTAATTTAATTTTTTAGGACTTCTTAAAGGTTAAATTCCTTTCTTCGTATGATTTAAGCATAAATTAATTTTCGTAAAAAACACATGACGTTTCATAAAATTGACATTTAATTTTGACAAATTGTTGTGAAGTTGGTTACGGTTGATTGAATTTATGTCACATTGACGTTTAAACTATTCAAAAATTTATTTAAAAAAATTAATTTATCTCGAATTTTGTATAATTTTTGCTTAAAATTAACCAATAGTAACCCTCCTTTTTGGCGCTTAATTTAAAAACACTCCTCCAAATTAAAAAAAATAGAGATAGCTTTGCATTAAATGTAAACATAACCTCACTTTTTATCGGAATTAATTTTTTAACTAAAATTAACGATTTTATTTAATTTAATTTAAAATTAATTAATTTATTTTTAATTTAGTACTTCAATGATGGAAGGATCCGGTTCGTTGGAACAACAACTTGAGGCAACCAAACGTAAAGCAGCTGAAGTTCGAGCTCGTCGCGCTGATTTGAAGAAAATTGAAGATCTTGGAGCTATTTTAGAGGAACATTTAATTCTTGATAATCGTTACACGGAGCATTCAACAGTTGGGTTGGCCCAACAATGGGATCAACTCGATCAATTGGGGATGAGAATGCAACATAATTTGGAGCAACAAATACAAGCGCGTAATCAATCGGGTGTTAGTGAGGATGCTCTTAAAGAGTTTTCGATGATGTTTAAACATTTCGATAAGGAGAAATCGGGAAAACTTAATCACCAAGAATTTAAGAGTTGTTTGAGAGCGTTGGGTTATGATTTACCCATGGTTGAGGAAGGACAACCCGATCCGGAATTTGACGCGATTTTAGATGTTGTTGATCCAAACCGCGATGGGCACGTGTCGTTGCAGGAGTATATGGCGTTTATGATTAGTAAGGAAACGGAGAATGTGCAAAGTTCTGAAGAAATTGAAAAGGCGTTTAGGGCCATCACAGCTGGGGATCGACCATATGTTACTAAAGAAGAATTATATGCGGTAAGTTTAATTAAAAAATTATTATTTTTTTATTAAAAGTGGTTTTTTAGAACCTTACGAAAGAGATGGCGGATTATTGTGTGCAAAGAATGAAGCCGTATACAGAACCTCGGACGGAACGGCCGATTGCGGGGGCTTTAGATTATATAGATTTTACGCGTACCCTCTTCCAAAATTAATAGATTTCGCCCCCGGTTTTAAATATATTAATAATATTGTAGGTGCAGTTGTGCATGATTAAATTGTTAGGATTAAAAATGGTCGAAGTTAATATATTAAATAAAAATTAATGAGAAACTTGAATTCATTCAAAAATTTGTTGAATAATTTCAACCTTGCCTTAAAAATTTCATGAAAGAAAGTTATTTTCTCAGAATACTAATAATAAAGCTGATTTAATTGCGTTTATTAGAACTTTTACCGTTTCTACATTTATATTATTGTATTTTGCTTGCACTATATGCTTGCAGGTGACAGTGTTCTTTTTTTACTCTTTTCCAATATGCAATAAGAAGTGTATTTCAATTAATGTTCAAAAACTAAATATATTGCTTAACTTTAAAATCGATTTTAATTAAATAAACATTAATTCCTGACTCAAATTTCCATCAAAAATCCTTTTTCTCAATCATAATAATAATAATAAATGTAACTGCCAACCTCAATTTCGACATCTTCATTAAAAATCCTTTAAAATGAGTACAAACACGACATATTTATCTTTAAAATTAATGAAGTTAGAAATGTCAACCTCAATTTTGACATATTTGTAATCGTCGTGAAAAATCCTTTAAAATGAGCCCAAACATGACACGTTTAATTCCAATATTACTCGAGATATAAGCAACTTCCGGTTTGAAATGTCAACGTCATTTTGACATATTCTTAATTTTTATAAAATGTCTCAAAATTTATCACAAAAACAAAAATATAATAAAAAAAAACAAAAATTAAGGTTGGTATTAATGTTTAAAAATTAAATTGCTATCTTCATTGTTGCTAACTTCGCGTTTAATGTTTTTTTAGTCTAACTTTTTTGTTTTTTGAGATAAATGCGTCATGTTTGGACTCATTTTAAAGGTTATTTTATAAAGATTACGAATATAATAATAAAATTAAAGTTGACATTAATACTTGAAAATTTTTTTTTTAGCTGTGCATCGAAACTCTCAAAATTTATTTATGTCATTGTATTTTGCTTGCACTATATGCTTGCAGGTGACAGTTTTCTTTTTTTTACTCTTTTTCAATACGCAATAAAAAGTATATTTCAATTAATGTTCAAAAACAAATATATTGCTTAACTTTAAAATCGATTTTAATTAAATAAACATTAATTCCTAACTCAAATTTCCATCAAATATCTTCGAAAATCCTTTCTCTCAATCATAAAAACAAACGCATCGATTATTTAATTCTTGCACCGGCCTGGTGTTACAAATCATTTGCCCATCGACCGAACATAATTTCCTAAATTTTCTTAATTGCCTCGACGAGATACTTAAAGGTTCCGATAAAACTAACCATTCAACGTTCTCCGAGCAAGGTGGAAACGTTAATGAGCCTAAATACATAAAGTATTTAGAAGAAAACGGCGGTGTTAACCAAGATAAAGGAAACGGCTCAATCGGGCAGGTCGAATTCGGTTCTTGAACGTCTTTTAAACTGTCTAAAATCGGTTCTAAATACGGATTATCAATCGGAGTAACCTAAAAAATTAATTTATATTAATCAAATTCACTTCATATTAAAAATAATACTTGAAAAAGATAACTTATTCCCATAACCGAGTGACTTTGAGCGGCTTGAGTTAAATCGAAACAAGCTTTATCGCGTTTTATGTGCATCGCTTGAATTTCCATTGCAAATCTAATCGAATCAATTGTGTGTTCCGATCCTTCATCGTCACTTGGTCCCCAACGGAATCGAATACTATCGAATCTATAGGTGTCGTGAAGGGAACCCCCGGAAATTTTTGGGTACCGATTTGATGGCCAACAACCGTATAAATTCACTAAAAATTAAATTATAATCAACATTAAAAATAAAGGAACAATTCAAGAATCATGATATGGCTTAAAAATTGACGAAAAAAAACACGTTTTGTGAAAACTAGCAACATCACTATTATATGATAATTAACTTGAGGTTTAAATTGTCAACCTCAATTTTGACATATTTGTAATCTTCATTAAAAATCCTTTAAAATAAGTACAAACACGACATATTTATCTTCAATATTAATGAAGTTATGGTCAACTTCCGGTTAAGAATGTCAACGTCAATTTTGACATATTTGTAATCGTCGT